CCAGCCTACTTCATTTATTATAAATATTAAACCCCTCGTGGTGGTTTGAATGTTAAAAGCAAGTTCTTATTTATTATCAAAAGATTGTTTCCATCTATAGAAGGCTAAATCGCTTTGGCATAAATACATTCAATTCTAAAGTAACATCTTTCAAGCGTTTGGTTTGGTATGATCGCCCCATGGCCCGTTTCTCCGCAAAAATCTCTTAAAGAAAACCTCATGTCCCCCACATGATTATGGCAGGTAGGCCGTCACGACTGAAACAACAGGTTGAAGTTGACGGCGAGCACAAGAAGCTGGAGGCTCCGTCCGTTTCCACCTTGGCTCGTGACAAACAAGCACGTTCCTGCTTCCAAAAGCAACTATTTACCAGCTCGGGACACAGATTACAGCTTGAACCCGGGACAGAAGGGACGGGGGTGGAAGGGCAGCCTTGATAAGGAGGTCTTATCTACACGGTGAGTCAACAGACTCCGGAGCACTCAGAACATGCAGACGTTGCAACCTGCATCACTTCGGAGAATCGGAACAGATGCCGCGGCACAGTCCCTTTGGACTCCCTTCTGGATCCGCCTCAAGAGAAGCGCCGCTCCACACACATTTAAGAGAAGACAGCGAGTCAAAGCGGTTGACGAGCGCAAGTCCTGCTTACAAATATATGTGCACAGCAGTGGGTTTCGGAAAATCGAGACGTCCTAATACGTTTACATTCATTCTGAAAGGTTCCTAACAGCTGCAGCTCCTACGCAGAGCAGCAATTGTTTGCAAAGTGTGTCTTGGTGAGTTTTAGTTTGCATACTGGAGGATTGCTGTGCTGAGGTGTAGGATACAAAATGATTCCTCATCCACCCTTCAGGCCCGCAGGGTAATAGAGTGTGTGTGATCCTCAAGACGGATTTTTCATGCATTGTGTTTTTTTTTTTTTTTTTTAAAGGGCTGCAGATGGGACTCGCATATTTGCAGGCTAGCAAGGACATGCTCAGACTTCCTCTGGATCAAAATTAACTGAACGTTTGAGGGATGAGTCCAATAATACCAAGAGGGAAAAAAGGCAGAGTTAATGAAGAAGAAACAAAGACAGGTGGAACGTTGTGCTCAGTGAGTAACTAAGAGACAACAACACAACAAAGGCTATAAAAACAGATTTCTGTACCCACTGCTGCAAACAGCCCCTTGACTCAGTGCATCACTGTGAGGTGACTTAGTAATCATAATAGAAGGAAGAAACAAATGTATGCTTTCATCTATCTATGGGAAGGTTGCTGTAGAAGGATGCATAAATGCAGTTTATAGCCAATTCTCAGCACTGTCAGATATTGATCAAGATGGATTAGGGCTGTCACCTATTCGATATTACAATTTTTATTTGAACACGGGAGAATACATTCATCTTCAAATATTACGTTATTTTTTTACGTAGTTAACGTACCTTTGTTTACTTCTGGAAGTGAACCGGAAGTAAACGGCGGAAACGAAACGGCGGAAACGAAACAGCCGCTAGCTGCAGTCAGTTACATCTGAGAAAGAACGACGGTAGCTCAAGATGGAGAGAGCTTTTTGCATCGCTAGAAAAACAGACACTAAAGAGTTGATCAAATGTGTGTGCTTTTGTGTTTAAAATAACATTAACAATTAAACAACAGTGTGTAAAATACACAATTTATAAAGTGATTACTCATAAATTGTAAGATGTAGTCTTAAAACAAACATTCATTCAATTAAAACATTATAACAGCAACAACAATATTCATTAATTGCCATTGATCGAAATGAATTAAGCACACATTTTGAAATTCATTCACCTATTGACAGCCCTAAGATATATACACATTGGTGGCCAAAATGATTTGAACACTTAAGGGATTTCAGTTGTTTTTGTTGAATTGGCCATTAAACGAATGTAACATCTACAAAGTCATCATTATGCTTTATAAACCATAAGAAAATCTGGGTAATTTTCCTTACAAAAAACAAGCTAGGCCTATTTAACCGTCAATGTCACACAATCATGTTCCTTCACAGAAGAAGCCAAATTAGTTGTGATGCGTAGTGAAAATTGACGGCATCATGGATTAGAAAGTATGCCACAGCATTCTGGTGAGGCACGAAGTACCATCTGGGATGCAGTCTTATTGCGCCTGGATTTATTTTCTAAGAGGACAAAGACCCTAAACATTCTCTAACTATTGCCGGAACTACCTGCGACAGAAGGAATCTGGATACAAACAGTAGGACTCACTTCATCTGTTTTTTGTGCTCGGAGGAACCATCTGCAGGTTTCATGAACATTATGAAATGAAATCCTGTTTTGAAGGCAAAAAAAAGGTACATATTTTCAGATCCGACAGGTGTGCTAATGATTTTGGCCACCACTGTATATATACACACACCTATTGCATGACCTCAGTGAAGAAGACGACTGCATGGAAAATGGAGGACACCAAAGAATTCTATGCTGATCAGATAACTACAACAGCAAAACAACTGAGGAGTTGTGCAGGCTGTGTGGAAGCCTGTTCCTCTACAAAGATAACAAATGGGACAACTCAGCTGCCGGCAGGGGAGATGAGCGCAGGGCCGTTTACTGCGCTTCTTCCATCAACCTTCAACCACTCATCCCCAGGACCCTCCTCAGCAATTGCTATATAGGTTTCATTCAAATACGAACAACCAAACCCTTGGTTGAAGTTTGAACTGTACTTTTTTTAATGTAAATACGCCTATGAGGGATAAAAGGAGCCCTTCTGTGGAGCGTTCCCAAGCACCACAACTTCATTTGGGCTCCATCAGCTAACAGTCTTTGACAGGCAACCTTTAGAAAGCGAGAGAATGAGGCTGAATCAGCAACGACGGACTGATTCGACAATGACACGTTTTTATACTGCTGACTGGAAGCTACCCTTCCAAGACGTGGTTACATGCAAGAACGGACAGAAATGTCAACTAATAACTGTCCATCTGACCAACAATAAGAGCCTTACACAACAGGGAGGGAAGCACACCGCTTAGATAGAAATCAAAGAGCTCCAATGCGGCCGTGTGCGAGCTGCATCTCCATCCCGGCGCTGCAGGGAGACTTTCCACAGCCTCTCATCTGAGCCATTGGTCTGGCAGAGGTAAACCGGCCATTTTGTTCATCCCATAAAAAATAGTTATTACATTTACTGGTCGGCCCAGCTCTAGACAGCGGGTCAGAAAGGGAATTCACTCACTTTGTCTCAACGCTTACAGCAATTTCAGCCCACAATTCCCCCTGTCAACAAGAGGGTCAAATACAAGCTTCAGATCCAAGTATAGCCAGTGGCTTGTCCAGGAGACAGAAACATGGCAGGTTTCCTCCGAAGCACCACGCTTCATTTATTGTCCTACATAAAATAGGCTCAAAAACACACTGGCAAAATCCGGTCGTTACAGAACGGGCACACACGCCGCTGAGTGCAAGGTGCACGGGGTAAATGTCACATGCGTGGAAGACGAATTGGCTGCCAGCGGCGGGATGTGTGGGTCTGTGCCGTCCAGTAAGTAAGCGGTACGAAAACAGGACACCTTCTCCAGCCGTGCATTCTTTTGAATTTAGGAGTTTTGACTGCTGCCTTTCCACAGCTCAGAATAGCACTAAGATATATATTTATCAGGGGATAGTAAGCTAAACTAGTGTTTTTACACCGCACCATGCCTTGGGACTACACTTGCAGAGATCAATCCTGGCAATACTTTGTTATATATATTACAACGTGTGACCATCAGTGATGAGACAGGGCATGGCCAGTATTGATCATGAAGACAATGGATGTCTTAACCGAACACACAAACTCAATTAAAAATAAATAAATACATACATTTTTGACAATTAACTGCCTCAGTAATAAGACAAACAGAATGCTTAACATTTGAAAAGAAGGTACAAATAAAAGATCAATTAACTGTTAGGGAATATATATGTACATTTCGAGTGAAATGATACGATGTTTGTGCGTCAATGTCCAGTTAACCTCGTGATGCCTAAAATGATCATCTACATCTAACTCTATATTCCCACTCCGAAGAAGAAAACCTTTGAGTAGCCTTAAAGCATAACACTGTATGTTGTGTGTACGAATCTCCTGCGTGCAAGTATTGTTTAATAAATGTCCCGTTTGCAGATTTTACACAGGAAACACTGAGATATCGTATCGACATTTTGAGCATCACATCGGTGTCGATCAGACACCTTTCTTTGACAGGTCTTGCGTGAGCTCCACAGCGCCGTAGCATTCAAGTCGGTTTTCACTGTGACTCATACTCGTCTGGTTACATTTGTCTACTCTCTACAGATCAATTAAAAGATAAGCCCTTTAATGTGTATTCTTTTACATTAGCTGCGGTGATGAGAATCATGATTTAGCCTTCACCGAGATCTTAGAACAGCTTGATGAATCCTGTAGGGATACCAGTGTAATGCACCTAACTGCCAAAGAGGCAGGTAAGAGGGCACAGAGTGAGTGTGTGTGTGTGTGTGTGTAGCAGGGTTGTGAAGGAAGTGCTTTATGGGTTTGACATGGACAGACTTAAAGAGGGCATTTGATTGGAGGAAATGAGAAGGAACGATTGCTGTTGACAAGCCCGAGGTGGCAGGCCTGGCATCAGACCCACTCAACACATAAACACTCTATTCAATTTCACGGCAGAGGTATTAATGAGGGACTACAACGAAGGGTGAAAATAATAAATCACCACATTCACTCTGTAACGGATGACTGGTCAATCTGGCTCGATGCTACAGCCGCTGCCATCACTTCCAAACGGCTCCCTCCATGCGGCACATGGCTACACAGAGATGTAAGCAGCCTACGATACCAAACTATTCCTAGAATATTGGTTGATAGGCAACAGCAGGAGAGGCCACAACAAAGGAAAGCAAATGATTCTGAGGGTTTTGCGTTCAGTGGTGCTTTGCTTCTGAGGAGGCATTTTTGCTGCGTCATCTGCAATGTTTGTGATTGCATGCATGCTTTTCTTACCTTACAAACAGTTTCAACATCCCACGGCAGGATGGTCTGTAGATCGATGAGCTCGCAGGACACTCCCAGTTTCTCTTGAGCCATATTGGCCACCTCTCTCAATACATGGATCTACATGGAAGAAAAGAGAAGGAGGAATACCTTTGAATCTAACAAGCTGTATGCACATGTAAAAAATATGAAATAGCTGTCGTTAGTTACAGAAAAAAAATACTTATATATACGTATAATTAGTCATTTAATTATATATTTGTAATTGTTAATTCCTTTTTGGTGTGTCTTTGGGAGGATGTTTATTTTCTTACTGACAAATGTATTATTGGTACTTATGTATCACTGTACAATGTTAACATGCTTAAATCAAGACAAAATTAATTCATACATAAAAGAAATCAATGAGCTAATGCACCTTTTCAGTTCAGCAAGGGTTTGATGGCTGCTCCAACATCTCTACAGTCCAACATTTATACATTTATTGCACATAAAATGTGTTTCACTTGTAATGAGCACTAAAATATCTAGTCGGATTAATTACCTCCAGATGCTTCACAGCTGGATTTTTTTTTTGAACCCAAAACACAATAGCCAATTATGAAGTTGTAACGAGCAGAAATGCTGCAAAATGGCTCAAAATGTCAACGTTAAAGTATTTGGCACAACCTAAGACATAAAGTTATTTCTCTTTGGGCTCATAATTCAGCTCAAACTGAAAGTTGAAAACAACCTTTAGATGAATTCGGCAAATGTATTCCCATTAATTCATATGGGAATAACTTGTTGAATAAAGAACTTGAGTTCAGTGAGTCTATATTTACTGCCATGCATTACTGTAGCTTCTAAATAACAATCACTGTGATAAATCTTGCAACCAGTGTCAACAGTCCAAAAGAGAACGATTACAGCCACTGGCCTCAAGCTAACAAATTTAAACTCAACAATGGTATTAGTTTATTTAGATTCATGAACCCACAGTGCTGCAATCACATCACGTCCTGCCGATGAAGAGAATCTTTCTGAGAAAGCTTTAATGGAGGAGCTGTTACGACTACGGGGAAGTCAGATCCTTGAAAGTTGTTTTCTTTCCTCTCATGTGCGGAGGCCTGACTGCGAGGGGAGTAACGAGGCGATGGGGGAGAAGAGTGCTATTTCAAAAAAGGAGAGCCGTGCTTTCCGCCACTTCAGTGGCCCCCCACCCCCTTCAACAATAACACTGGCTTTGACGGAGAACATTTCCTTCAGTGTCCTGCTACCCCCCCCTCCCGCGTGGCTGGTACATGGCGGCCTGGATAAGCCTGTCAAAGTGGCAATGTTCAATCAGAGTCGGGGACGGCACCTGGTGAGTTGCAGGAAGCTTGATGCGGAGCTGCACAGAATAAAAAGCTCATGGATGAAAGGGCGACAATAGAAAGTGTGCCGCCGACGCGGAAAGAAAGACGACAAACAGCCTTGGTGATGTGGAGATGTCTGAGCCGATACGGCCACAGGCTGCCGGCTGAGACCCCTCGCCGGGACAGAAGAGGCTCGTGATGGACTTAAAGTTAATCCACCCTCGCCTCTGTGGCTTTAAATGGCATTTAGTGGAGACGAGACTGGACCCCCTCTTTCCTGTGGCCATGGGAAGGGATCCAAAGATAGAGGACAATGCAATACTTTCAGTGGGGGCAAGAGAACGCCTACCTGTGTCCCCCAGGCAACCAGCGTGACATCACTTCCTTCCTGAAGGACCTCGGCCTGCGAGAGAGGGATGGTGTAGGACTCCACGGGAACCTGCTCCACTGCAGAAACACAACCAAATGACATGCAAGCCCACATGCAAATCACTACGCACCATCTGGTCTTTCTAAAATATTCAAAGGCCTGATGGACTAGTGAGTTGAAATAATGTCAAAGAACACATTTCCCACTATATTTGGCCCATAACAAATGCCTTTTCACCAGAACCTCAGCTCTCCCCAGGGACAGAGTGTGCTTTTATTAGCACAATCTAATGCACAACTGAATGACAAGCCCCACCAGCTGCGAGCAGCTAACCCTGATTCATCCCGACAACAGAACATCGGTGCAATGGGGTATCAATCAGAAAAGTGGCCACATAGACGGGGCGTCCCTCCAAAGAGGGAGGGGGCGGTGGAGGGCTTGCAGCAAACCTCTCTTTGATCCAAAGTCCAAGACAAAGTGCATTCGAGTATACCGTTTCAATAATAGCAACTATGTCTTGGAAAACCGAAGCCCGGTCATGGAAAAAATTACCATGCAAAAAAATCATGAACTTAAACACCCATCACTTCTGAACATGCAGCCCATCAGCGCACAACAGCACATTGTCACTGAAAGCGACGTTTTAACCATCTTTGAATGTCGCTCACCATTATGGCTGCAAAAACACACTGAACATCTAATAAGTGTTCTATAAAGGGATCTAAAAAAGGACTGTGGCATTTCTACATGGCAATGCATGAAGTCAAATTTACAATTAAGCAGTGTAAATGGTACTCCAGGGAGACACTGGGGTTTGAGAACTTTCTGGAAAACTTGAATGACTCCAGAGGCCGTAAAGAAAACCTTGCCGATGCAACTGACTAAATTAAAACAACATCAAGGGCTCAAGTCCGTATCTAACCTTGCAGACCATACAGAAAATAGGCCCTCGGGGTGGAATAATGGCATTTAGCAGAATATTCAAAATTGAATTATGACAACTAGGTTACCGTTTAATAAGTGGAACCTTGGGCGCTGCAAAACAGTGTGGCCTTGATGAGACAAATGTGTGCTTTTTTTCCTCTCCTGCAAGATGAGAGAGGCCGCTGTGACTGGGAGCATGACTTCATAAACGAGGTAGAGATCATTAGAGGCATGTGGACCTGGCACAAGAGGCCCTTTAGAAAATATCAAAGTAACTCCTGAAACGCGCCCCCCCCCCCCCCCCCAACAAGTGATTCATGCCGCTTTCAGAACACAAATCTTTCAAATACAGAACATATCCCGAAACCAAACAACCAAACCAAAGAAATGATGACCCCCTGTTGAGTGGTATGTTCTGGCTACGCTGCAATAAATTAACTGGGATGTAACAGTCTCTTACACACAATCCATTACTCTTGTACCATCTCTTCACTTCCCGAGAGGCTAATGAAGGGAGATCCAAATCCATTGAGCGCCAATACGAACGAAACATCAGCCAAGAACTCACACCCGCTCTTTGCTTCCTCGTTGAACCACGTCGGACTCCGGCATCATCCTGGTCTCATAAGATCGTACACAATGACAATGACACAGCGCTGCACATTTACCAATAAAATGTCACCTCATTGGTTTCCACTTCTCTGCATCATACAGCTTCAGCAGTGAGGTATGTGAGGTATTACAAATATTAATAAAATACTCACATTAAGCTTCGGTCTTTATTCCAACAAACTCACAGCAATTAGTATTTGCTTGCAGGTGCAACCTTTGGGGGGTGTGGCTGTGGCCTTTCGACTTATAAGGAAATCCCTTTGTGCCGAGGAGTGGTTTCAATATCTGGACTGCACGGTGACATGACAGATGCCGTTGACAATGATCATAGTGCCATAACTGAAACAGATTTTGCCTTGAACCTGGTATTTCCAATTCACTCTAGTTCGCCCGTCATTTCCAAATTAGGCCCAGACATTCCGTATCAAACACCCCGTTGCCAAGACAGCACAATTTGCAACAACTACCGACAGCAGTTATGAGTTCATCACCACGTCTGGGCGCCCTTTTGTAAGGCAGCCTGCCCGAAGCGCTGGGCCAGGATCGAGTCGGGCACTGTCAACGCTTCACAGCCCATTTGGGTCATCTGCTTCACAGGCGGCGTCTCGCTGATGAGAAACACTCGACTAGATCTCGACTCTTTGCTGTCCTTGCGCCGAAATGGTGGAACGAGCTCTCTGAAGACACCAGGACCACAGAGAGCCTTCACATCTTCCGCCGCAAACTAAAGACACACCTCTTCAGACTCTACCTCGACTAAAGACTAACAAATTGTAGCACTTAAATTGTAGTTGTAACGTCACTCATCTATAGCAAATTGTAAAATGGCTTATTTGAGGAAATTGCACTTCCTTGTTTCTTGTTCTCTTGAGTTTGTACCCTATGGTTGAATGCACTTATTGTACGTCGCTTTGGATAAAAGCGTCCGCTAAATGACATGTAATGTAATGTAATGCTGCTGGCATGGTCTGCAGTCGGACGTATCGATGGTTTTCTTGCCTCACACTGTGCGGGGGAGCATTTCAAGAGGGCCGCGCAAACGGATCAAAGTCCACCGAGGAACGGCGGCTTTCCAAGAAAGCCGGGAGCGTGTCTCTGCTACAATACTTGAGGTGCTTTCATGCTGTTCTTTGTCGAGAAACTCAAGTTTCACAGCGCTTCAAATTGCAGCGGTGTAATTTGACCAACAACTGCACTGAGGTTAAATTTGATTCCTGTTTGCTTACCTGCAGCTCTGTACAGGATCTTGGGCTCAAAGAATATGCAGGGGTTCTGGTCAGCGATGCAGGAGAGGAGCAGTCCCTTCGCCTGCACCGGACTACGAGGTATTACCACCTGAAGGGCACATGCGATACAATGACAACAATCAAACACTGCCATGCAGGTCATAAGTTTACAATATTTAAACTTGTTCACATTTCATTTCCTGTAATTTTCACCTTTAAGACCAAACTGCTTAATGCACTCAGGCTCAACCCTTCATATCAACGTGGGTCTTTCTGGCGCTGTCTCTGTATGTTAAACCTCTTAAACCTGTTAAACCTCTTTTAAAAAATTTAAAAATAAAGGATTTTGATCCGAATCGGGCCAAAGCTGAATCAAGCCTGTAAGACCGGGTGGTGGGACGGACTCTAAGTGGGAGCAAACGGAGATGCTTGTTTGCACAAATATTAACATTCATCAGCCTGACATTTGCTGCCAGACAACATGTTTATTGCTCTCAGCGGTGGTTGCTCACAGCGGATGGACCAGAGCTGTAAACCAGTCATTTCTGCTGTGCGCCGCGTCAGACACTTTGATGACGGTTAGACGTATGATTGCTTTTATTTTTAGAAGGGAATTACAATCTTTGAGCAGCAAACTGCATCAAATCATTACGTCTGTGTGCAAGTGAGTCATTTTACATCTTTTTTTTTTTTTTTTTTTTCCTCACAAAATCAAAGTAGCATCCTCCCCCTGGACTCCTACGAGCCTGAGGCCTGCATGTGTGTTTAGTGTTGAGCATAGTTTAGATAACGCTGTATTTATGTTACTGGACATTTATGTTCTACAGTTGCCACAATTTTGCACAACTCCGTTGTCTCCATGGTGATCTGTCACCAACTGTCTTTGTTCCGCTCATTCGAGTCCTTTTAGCTTGTTACCTCGTAAAGAAAAGGGAAATCGCCAAATCCCAGAGTGTGTTTATAGGATCTTTGACTTTGTCGAGGTCGAGCAGAACACAGCTGTGCTTCCCATACCAAGTGAAAACAGACACGATAGGTTGTCTCTAGATTAGATTTGTTGAACCTGGAAGCTACTGTTGTTGCCAGAATATTCTTTAAACGGTTTTTGTGAATAGCATTGAAGCCACGGTGCTTTTCCACCCAAAACACAGGAACTCAGGAAGTATTTTTGCTCAGAGAGCAGGAGCAACATTTATTGGGGAGACTTGATGTGATGAAAGATCAGATAGTGGTTTTGTTCTGTCTCCCTCTGAAATAATTGTATGATGCAGTATCCAATTAGGAATGCGATACTTTGAAATATAATTGTTTTGCCTGCATTTGTTTGTAAATGATAAGGTTGCAAGAGAATCACTCAACATATTAAATGACACACTTTGAGCTTCACAACAAAGCAAATTCATCCAAAGGTCAACGAGTAGAATCACTAAAACTGACTGGGATAGGTTGCCTTTCTGCAAACATTAGGCGACAAGTGTTTATTTTCCTTATTCTGTATTTACTCTGGAGTAACGTTCAGTATTGTGTTTGTATTAGCATGACTATAATGATGGTCCAATTGGAACTGCGCTTCACAAATGTAATCAGACGTGGCCGTCCAGATGTTCTCCTGGAATACCTTCTTTCACAAGTGCTGGGCCAAGACGTCAAGACCGGATCTGTAAAAATGAATCAAACACACAGAGGAGCACCAGCGATGAACCCCGGGGCTGACCTTGATGCCGGGGCAGTGAGCGAAGAAGGCCTCGGGGCTCTGCGAGTGGTAAAGCGACCCGTGGCCGACGCAGCCCCACGGCGCCCGGATGGTGAGGCTGCCGCAGTCAAACAAGTTGCCGGACCGGTAGCGGTACTTGGCTGCCTCGTTTACAATCTGGAGAGAGACCAATGGAATTGAGGTTAACATAACTGCAGGTTATTAGTTGACATGAGGAAAACGTTACGGGTCCTCGTGGGACAGCGGTGTTGTAAACATTACAAGGTTAAAAAGAGTACGACGCGTTAAGCGATCGCAAATCGGTTGAGCAAAAGGACTTTCTATTGTTTTAATGAATAACGACACACCTGTGAATACTCTTAAAGCTTTTACAAACCGTAGTACGTTTAAAGACAGCTGTTCTCGTACGAGTCACATGGATGCACACCAAAGAGGTATTACATAATCATGTTATTTACTGGGTAAAGTCATCCGGCGGGCAGCAGTGGCTTCGGGACCCACTAGACGCCCCGGCGGGCCGGATTTGCCCCGTGAGTTTGAAATATGTGGTTCAGTCGCTTAATGTCTACGCACATACGCGTTTATTTTATAGGAATTGTTTTGACACTCAGGTGTGCCATCATCTATGGGTCGTCGTGGCGCAGGGGTTAGAGAAGGTGTGCTGGGAAGCACAAGGTTGGTGGTTTGATTCCAGGCTGCCCCATGTTCCATGTCGAAGTGTCCCTGAGCAAGACACCTAACCCCTAATTGCTCCCCGGGCAAAAATGTGAAAAAGCCATGGGTTTAAAGTGTAATGTAAGTCGCTTTGGATAAAAGCGTCTGCTAAATGACCTGTAATGTAATGTAATCTATCATGGGAGACTATAAACAGAACAATGTTGATTTTGTTGCAAATTTGTTCAGTGTTTTTACCCCACGTAGGTTTCTCCATTAGTGACTCGTATCTTTACTTCTCGTCACAGTTCTGTGTGTGACACTGACAAAATTAGACGACTTAAAACCGTTGCCCATTGAACATAGTTTGTCTCTCTCCCAGATGTGAAAGAATATGTCGATGTGAGGAACTTGTTCCGTCATTGTCTCAAGTAATGATCCTCAATGTTTGGACTGCGGAGAGCGAGAGATGAACAAAAAGAAGAAAATCTCCCAAAGTACCTGGTCAAAGGCCGGGTAGATGTAGTCGGCAAACTGGATCTCTGCAATTGCTGTGGCACCAGCAACAGCCGCACCAATGCCGAATCCCACAATCCCCTGCTCACAGAGGGGCGTGTTGAAGACTCGGTCCTTACCTGGGGGAGAGGAGGAAAACGGTTGAAGTGGCTACTGGATGAGGGAGAACCGAGTTGAAACAGAACCGGGCAGCACACTTACAGACATTGCAAAGAACACCCGCCTTATAATGCCATACAGCCCTAAAACAAATGGAGTGACCAATGATGACTCCTCATCAGCTGTAGCGAACCATGATGCGCACACACAACATCCAAAGTCCTCCACCCTGTAATCTAAAGAGGAGCCGCATGAGTGGGACTCTAGATTTTGGTCGAGAGTTGTTATTTTCTGCTTGCATCTCATTTGCTTATCCCGTCTTTTTCAGTTCTCCTGGGAAGATTTGGTTTTCTCAGCAGTGCAACTCTGCCCTCACTCACAGAGTTTGATCAGCAACCCAAACCCTCAGATGCATGAACAATAAAGTGATCATAATCCTGTGCTCTGGCTCAAAAATACAGCTTCTGTGAAACGGATTCTGTGGGTCACCAAAGCAATGCTATATATAGTTTCCAGAAACGTTTTGGGAATTATTTAAGCAACACTTTGTAAACAAGATTCCTTCACCCAGAACGAAAAGTGGGAAAGTCAAACGTATCCAATGCACTTAATAGGATTCTAAAAATAATTATTAAATGTCACCTGAATGTAAAAAAAAAAAAAAAAGCATCCCAAATAAGTTTCTATGGAAACTGAATTAGAGAAAAACCTGTATACCAATAGCACCACGTGTGACCACATGCACTTGAGTCGACGCTGGTCTAAAATAGACATTTTAATATTTGTAAATGTTAGGGTACACTTTATAGCCAGGGCTGTGTGCCAACGTTGCTTTTAGTGGACGCACACACACATGCGCTCGTTGTTTCCGTTGTCAGCGAGGAGAATGCGTCCGCCTCGTGAAAAGCCATTCAACCTCTGCTGTGGCTAATGATGGTGAGCGGCAAAGGTGTGCGCCGTCTCTTTCAGTCGCGAGAGGGATGTAAACAGATTTGCTCCAGTCGCTGTGCGCAAAGATGAGATGGAAAATAATGATCCCTCTCTGTAAAAAGGTCAACACTCCTGACGTCAATGAAAACAAAAAGGCATGTTATTGAAAAGGAAGAAATAGAGATGAACTCAAAATAGGAAACGTCAACCTGCTGACATGTAGGTAATCCTACTTGTGCACCTTGTTAAACAATACAGAACAAAGCAGAGCTTCTGTACTCCCTTTATTCCACCAGCTTTTAGAGAATCTGAATTTTGCAAATTGGTTGTTTCCAGATATTCTGTAAAAAAGAAAATGATTTGGGTCGAAATGTAATAGGTTTTTTAATAAATCCACAGGAAATTAGTTACCAACACTTTGGTTAAAAACTCATCAATTCTTCTCTGCATCAATCTTGAGACATAACCTGCTACAGACAGAAAATAGCTTAATGCTGTTGCCATGACGCCCGTCCTTTCGGCTCCCAGAAGATTTACTTTTCATTGGCCGACTGAACTGCAGAGTTAGTGATAGACCAGCACCCGCGTTGGGTTCAAAAGACTACGTCCGAGACGACCGCATCAGATACCACTTCGTCAACGTGACCACAACCTCTAGTCACTCGAGCCCCATAAGCCTCCCAGCTGGAACTTTTACCTGATGCACAAACAGGAAACAGACAGTATTTATTGACAGCTGCAGGTTACTACTACTACTACTTCTACTACTACACCCCCACATCAATTAGTTCAGCTCAGATGTCAGTTGGACAAATAAATGCTACTACTCATCGAGTCCTGTGAGGAGACCAAGACAAGTTCCGTGTCTTGCTTGTCCGCCACCTGATGATTAAAGTGTAGGGAGTTATTAGAGACGTTAGCAACAACGCCACCTCAGGCGCCCTTAAAGTGGGCCGGTGTTATTCTTTCTGAGACATGCCTCCACTTTGAGCTTTGCACAGCTCTCAAAAGAGACCTTTATTTCTTATTTTCACTTTTTCCTGACGGCAGCGGTTCATAATTAACAAAGAGCTACTATTTGTTTTGTGCCGGGATAAATCAATGTTAAAATCTTGGCAACAGCATTGTGTTTTCAATTTCATTTGTAAAACTCAGAAAGTGAGGAACATCTGGTGAAAATGAAAACATGTTCTAAAAGTACTCATATTCTCAGTCCTTGGTCTGAAAAAATTGGTGTCAGTGCATCCCTATCCAGAACTAGAATAAAGCGTCAGTTTATTTAGAAGCGAAAAGCCTCAGCTACTAAAACCAGGAGGGCATATAAGCCACTAATGGAACGGACGGTGGCTGCAGATCTCTCTCAAAGCAGATAAATCCCCGTACATCTTTTCACAGGAGGCATTTTAACATGTTACGATGGGAAAGGCACAGCACATACGGTCAAATGCCCTTTGGCTGCTTGGGCTTCAGGGTCCCGGTGGCGAGGCGGTGACTCAATGTCACCGCTAACTCGGGCCACTTGAATAGATCGGAGCCATTGTCACATCTAAAAGTAGCGCCTGTGCCGTTGCTACTATGACAAATGAAAATGTCTGCTGATAAAAAGGCCTTTCAACGAAACAAACTCATCTCTGGCACGTCTGCACTGCTGTATCCAGCTGCTCTTTAGCTGACACATGCGCCAATTGTGATTTATCCTTAACAAGCCAATGCGTGCTACGACTGCTACCTGTGGAGACAATGAATCCATTGATTTTACGTAATTCAGAGCCAATTTACCCTTCAAAGACTCCAACCATACTCAGATGGGGCATATCAAAAGGACCACTTGATATGTGCAAGCTAGTTTGAGGGGCCTGATACACTATTAAGACAAGAAAGCTACTGACATTCTTTATCAGCTCGCTCAATGTCGCTTGTCCGGCTGCTACAAAAAGAGTGCAAAGAGATCCTTCTGGTCCTCTAGGTGAACACTGAGCAGTAATATGACCTTGCAAGACAGGAAGTGGTGAGATTCACAGTCCTCTGCTGCCACCTTGTGGATACGTGGTTTGATGCGGACAGAAGAGGAACATCTTACCGTATTTGTCTCTCAGACCCACTGTGCATCGGAACACTCCCCCGAAGGCAACATCTTCCCCAAAGATGACTGCAGAGAAACACACACACACACACACACACACACACACACACACACACACACACACACACACACACACACACACACACACACACACACACACACACACACACACACACACACACACACACACACACTCAAGGTGTGTCAGAAAAAGTAAGTCAAGATTAAAAGTCACAACAGACTAAATAAAGAAAAGTATGATCATACAAAGAGAGGAGATAGACATACAAGTCTACCCTTCATGAAGAACTCATAACACATTGTTCCCCTTCATTCGGCGGTATTGTGCAAGCTTGCCACAAAGGACTCATGTAACATAGCCATCGACGACTGCCACGGGAGGTTGAAAAAGGGACTGTTTCCATCACGGAGATGGTCTAAAGAATAGAGTCACAACAGGTGATGTTCCACTGCGTATACAACATGGGTAAACTTGCGTATGAAGAAACCATCCGTCTGTGACAACGTCAGGATGCTGTCGAAAGACGTCCAGATGAGGCATCCAAAAGAACTCCTCATTATATACAGCAACAAACCCTCAACTACTGAGCGTTCATATTGTTACATTTGTGTCATACGATAACATTAATAGTCTGTTGTTTAATAATATTATATGTAGAACTGCAGATTCTAACAGCATGACGACAACATCATTATGAAGTGTAATTGCAATGCAAAATGGCTTTAAAGTAATATAATATACACTCCATTAGTGACAATATCGCTTTAAATCCTTCAAATGTGAACTGCTACATACTGCGGTGCAACACTTCACGTCTATTCTTACAAGGTTAAGAGGACGATTTAAAAGCAATTTCAAAATACAGCGTGATGATAGATGAGGTCAAATGAGGTTGACCCTTTGCAGATGGCCAACTAATGAAAGCTATAAAACGTACCTGCTGTTGGGTCACTGGCCAGAGTGTGGTCCAAAGCGCTTGTAACCGACTGGAACATGTTCATCTTCGTCGTGGGGCCTAAAAGTTTGTAAAAAAAAAAAAGAATGAATGAAACAAAAGACTCAACACAAGCAACAATTCATTCTTATGCAATTAAACTAAAAAGTACACCGTCGAACAAACATTTGAGCGACATATCGGTTGCTGCAGGAAAAGAAACCACGTTAAGGAAAGTTGACAAACTGCCTCCAATCAAAGAATCCGTTTGACGTAAAACCGGAACATGAGATCCTCCCTGCAGGTTGTTCTACTGGAACCAGTAACAATGACTCTTTATTGGGTGCCAACATCCTGGTTGACTGAGCTGAGGGCAGAAACAATGAGCTGTGGGACCGTCTCGGATTAGGAAATACTTTTGGCGTTGACATCAGCCACAGTTGATCCGCATTACTGGGGCAGCATGCGTCGTGTTTGGAGCTTATATTGTTATAAACAATCAGCAGCAGAAGGATGTTTTCACGTTCATGAAGGGGAAAGTTACTCGCCTCAAACGTGAGGATTTGTGTGTGACATCACGACTAGTTTGGAGACAGCCGCGGTCTAACGTGCAGGTTACACAGGTGTGACGATTGAGGACAATTAAAGCCTAAAATCCGCATTAAAAAGGGAACTTACGTGTCGTTGCTGTAACGTTAACTTAGTACACAACTTAAAATAAAAAGCATTTGTCATACGGCGTGATGACGTGACAGCTGAACAGCTGTCGCAATTACAACCCCTTTCGGTTCGACTAAAAAGAAGCTGCTGCCAATGCTGGTGAGTCACTTAACTTTCTTACAGTTGTGTACATGTGCTACACATTTGTTTCCTGTTAATGTAAGTTAACTATTATCGCTAGCTATCGTTAGCCTGCTAACCAGCCACTCACCGTACTGCGTCGGCTCGGGGTCAGCCTGGAAGGTAAAGTGCGCTGCATGTCTCCGTTGTGTCCGGGAGCTGGAGCCCGGGGACAACTTGAGCAGAGCGGCAGCAAAGGAGCTCCGAGGGCCGGGGACAACTCCAGAGATGGGAAGTTTGGAGCGGGCACCACGGACAAAGAACCGTGCAGCAGCCGCCATCGCTGTTGTTACAGTTATCCAGGAAGGGCAAAGCGCGAAGATCGTGTATTCGTGCGAGGAGATCACACTTTCTATCGAGCTGTAATCCCACGATTGATCTTTTTTTACACATGAAATGCAGGTTTTCCATCACTACTCTAGAGTTAATTTCCATAATATAGTTTCAGCAAAGGTTTTTTTTTTTTTATACCGTCAACATCTTTTGGGGGGTTCAAGGAGAGAGGATGTCGCACGGACAGGAAACCCCTGTCGCTTATTTGCGACGGGCTATGTAAGTATATGTTTGAAAAGTAATTTTTGCGTGGAATGGTGTTATACATCGCTTTTATCTTGTGTTGAGAAAATCAACAAGAAGTCTAGGAAGAAACGGAAGGACGGCACTCTCTGATACCTTGGAATAGTGGCAGAGTGAGACTTCCTGTTTCTCTTTCTCGGTGGCAGCCAGTCTGCATGCGGAGGTTATGATTGGTCGAAAGGGAGGGCGGTGTAAGCGTCACAGCACACGCTAATAGCGACGTCCAAATGACGTCACGGTCGAGCAGCATTTTAAATATTGGGTATTTACATAGACATGGCAGCGTCACCACCACCTTTCACTCTAAATCCAAGAGCTTTGCAAGGGTCCAAATACTATACACGTGTTTATATAACAGCTTTGCTTGGAAGGAAAATTAATATGACCGCGAAACAAAATATTTTTCTAGTTCCTTGGAAGACCCCTTAAGGACATTGCAACACATTGACATTCAACCCGGAGAAAACGTTCCCTTTAGGGTTTGTTATTCAGTACGTTAACATTTGCAAGACATAAAAGTGAAGGATAAAAAAATTATATAATAGAATTCAATTAATCTAATTTTCTAAAGAAAATACACCTGAATAACTGAATAAACAGTATCATATCACATTCCTTTGAGCATATAATTAGGGTCCTCGCTACGACTAGTCTAGTCGTAGAGGAACCTATTGTATTTCATGGAATTATTATTTTCTCTAAGGAATTTTCCCTTTTTGAGGCCTTTATCATATTCAAAAAGTTGTTAAATTTGGCATGCATATCAGAACTGATAATTTTGTCCGATTGTCATGAAATTTTCTGTGGATCATTATTGGGTCACTATCCCCCCACCACACCACACCAGATCGTGTTGATATCTCATTGTCCTGAGAAGATATGGGGTACTGAACTTCGCAAGGGGTGTGGCTTAATCTGGCATACTCATAACTTCCAAATGATTTGGCCTGCCCTCACCAAACTTGTAACACATGTGAACATTGAACCCCTGAACAGACCCTAATTTTTTGAGAATATTTGAAGAATAGGTAGCGCTGCAATTAATCATTGAAAATCTGCCTTTTGCCTAATGATTTCCTACGGTGTAAAAGACCAAACTCTCCCAGGGATTAAACTCGACTCAACTTCTTTTCAAATTCGTACAGTGTGATCTTGAGGACCTAGGCTCTAAAAATTGCATTTTGCAGGAAGAAATTCCAAACTGTGTGTGTAGGGAGCGTTTTCAAAAAAACACCATTCGCCATCAAAATTGAAGTGGTTTTAACTCGACCATACTTTATCTAATCTGCTCCATATTTCTCATATAGCATGAACTTCTCACGCTGTAGACATCCATATGATCATTTTTAACCCATCTGGTGACAACAGGAAGATGAATGTATTTTTTTTTTTACACCCTGCTCCTCAAAGGTCAATCTGATCCCTCTCAAAATTTCTCAGCAGGGAGGTAAGACCGTGATAATGCGTCACTTTGAATATTATAAGAATCCGATAATCTGTGGCGAGAGGGTGCATTGGCAAAATTGGTCCTTCGCCAAGAACAACTAAATCATTGTAACTTTACTCCACATCATCGGATTCTTTTCAATTTACACATGTTTGATGAGACTCTTGGCCTGAAGAGATGTAAAGTTCAATCAAGTCAAAGCGTCACATACTGGTAGCAGGAAGTCAAATTTTCTAGTATCCAGTAAAAAACGAAGGTGGCATTTCGAGAGGCTTTAATTTTCTAAAATGGTATATTAGAATGTCCTGAGTGACACCTTGGGGAGGTGTACTCTCTCCCTGAAGTGGAATTACTGTGTAACTATTCATTGTTGTCTTTTAAATCTAATCTGATATTGACCAGATGTAGTCTTGTGATATTTTGGCTCATGTATGGTATTTGAGGCTTTTATTTTGTAAAAGTACATTAGAATGTCCTGTTTATCGCTGAGTGACACCTTGGGGATGTGTACTATCCGTCTGAAGTGAAATGATCATGTAACTATTGATAGTTTTCTTTTAATTCTAAACTGAAATTGACCAAAAGTAGTCTCGTGATTGAGAATTTGAAGGAAATTGGTTCATATATGGTATTTCGAGAGGCTTTCATTTTGGAAAAGTACATCAGAATGTCCTGGTTATCGCTGAGTGACACCTTGGGGATGTGTACTCTCTGCCTTTAGTGGAATTATCATGTAACTATTGATCGCTTCCTTTTTAAATACCATCTGAAATTGATTAGAAGGCTGGTGAAAGAGATTTAAGAGAAGGTTTGGTAATGTATGCCATTTTGCGTCTCTCCACACGGTTAACAACGACTGACTGTCGGACACTCTGTCCCACGGCCACAGGAGTTTTTGTTTCTAGCGTCCGGCCAGTCCCCCGACGTGCGGAATAGCGAGGCCCGTCCAACGTTGCTTGCAGCTTTAATATTTAGTTTATCATCCTTTGCGGCAATATATTTGAGAACTGGATTAATCAGAAGCTCTAAGAGGATGGCATTATCCATTTTAATTCCATTATAAGAAAAAAACATGTGAAAATAGAAAAAATGATCCCCTATTGCCTTTCCAATCTAACAGTTCGGGAAAATAATATCCTCAAAACGATTTAATTGCACAAATTTCAGGGGGAAGTCAAGGATGCTATGAAACTTAAATTTATATTATTGTCACTAGAGGCCTGTAGAAAGGATTTAATACAAAAATCAAAGCACTACAAATTTACTTATTGACAATAAGTTTTTTTTTTTAGATAATATCTTGATAAACACAACATTTTGAAACAGATCCACAAGTCCTAAGAATACCGTACTTTTATTTGACTATGCTGTATGCTTACATTTATTATCAGAGGATTAGAGTAAAATGAAGAAATCTAATAATTTTGTTTCAAAAGCCACAAAAAATAGACTTGTAAATTCTACAGAAAATACTGTTACTCCACTGAAGTGGTTAAGGAGTTAAAAAAGAGAAAGGGAATAATGTAAATAACAATCCAGGACAATTAGGTGGATGGCTTTGCGCACTCTGCAACATCCAACTTCCTGCCGCTGCTGCACATTCTGGCCAGATTCTGTGAAGAGCAGAAGGCAGAGTTACTATTTAAGAAACTCCTGGATCGAGTCAAAGTCGAACGTTGTCCCTCGTAAATCTTACATTAGCAGCTCGGACGATGCTCTTTGGAGACTGCAGGGCTGCGAGGTCTGTTAGGATCCTCTGGAGATCACCGTTACTGCAACGTTCTGAGAGAGGTGAGGAGAGTACGGCTGAGCATCAGGTGGTGAACTGCAAGGCTGGCTTCCAAGTATACAGTTTGATGTGCGTGTGTGTACCTGGTCCAGGTGTTGTTTGGTTCTTCAGCTGCAGGTATGGATGCTCCAGCAGCTCTGCGATAGAGATTCGCTCTCGTGGGTTTCGTACCAAGCACCTCTGCAAGAACCCGACGGAAAAACGGATTAGTAGTTCACACCACTTCAAAAGTAGCCACATTTTAAACGGATGTGGACATTAATATCTTAGTTAAACCTGTAATGCTGCGTTCATACCAAAAGCGAAGCATTCACACGAGTAGATTCCACGCAAAGTCAATGCAGACACGTAACTGGTTGCGGAGGAAGCACATTTTCAATGGGCGGTGCGCAGGACGCGAAAAAGCAAAGCGAGTAAATCGCCTTTTCACCAAAGTAGAAATATTTCAACTTTCGGCAAAAAATTCGCCCGTTCTGCTGCCAAAGCGTGAATACACATTATGAAGCTGAGACTGAACGGCTGTAAGTAAGATGGCGTCTAACCGAGAGACGCTGGCACCGGGCCGAAACAACAGACCATCAAACCGTTTGCTGGTCATCCTGAAGTAGCGCTGTTCAACACTGTAGTTTTTTTGCAAAAAACATTTTGCAACACTCAAACGGTACTACATAAATATAATTAAGAGTTAAAATACCCGACACACATTTATAGACCAAGTAATAATTAAGGTTTTCTACCAGCACGAGAGCCTCCATCATGGCAAAATCATTCTACACTAATACAGTTTAGTCGTGGTCTCGCACCTTCAACACATCCAGCAAATCCTTCTCGGCGATGTCAGGGAATTCCATCCCATGAGAAGGGTCAATGATGGCGTGCAGCTTGGCAATCTGATTGACGATGCTTTGGAATGGAGTTTTCCCATAAGTCATGCAGTACAGGATGCAGCCGAGGGACCACACGTCACCTTTGGGACTGATCTTTGGGAGAAACGAAGAGAGACCGTCTTCACAAACAGCTCTGCAACCAGAAATGACAGCTCTGCATGTTTATCCCCCTGGGTGGGCTCGGTACCTTTGAGCGGGCTTTCCCTGCCTGGGATGAGGTGTCTTTGATGGCCTCGGGGGGCATGTAGTTCAAGGTTCCAACCTGTGTTTTAAAAAAAAAGAAAATAGCCTTAGGTGTACAGGACCATTGGTTTCTTCTTCCCACATTTCAGAACATCTGGTTTGGTTGTGGCACTTTCATGAGAGGGGCTGCGCTCTGCATGTCCACTGGCTGTGAAACTTACTTTCATTTAGCAATGGTGAAGTGTAGATCAATGCATTTCAAGCACTTACTCTGGGGTTTCTGTTTTTCATCAAAGCACCAACATTGTTGTCCTTGGTGCTGCACGTTAACGCAACATCGTTCACGTACCTGTGAATCCTTCATGATGCTCGTGACGTCTGGCTGGATTCTGTTGGCGATGCCAAAGTCAATCAACTTCAGCGAAGCATTGACAATGACAAAATTTGCTGGCTTCAAGTCACTGTGGACGATCCCTGCACGAGGACACACGGAGGACATTTAGGACAATCGGACTTGTTGGAAATGAAGTTCATCTGAGCAGACAGCCCTGAGACCGAGGGAGCCGCAGTGAGTGGGAGGAAAAGAGGCGGACCGTGTTTGTGGATGGTGTCGACGGCCTCCAGCATGTTCTTCCAGTAGAACTTCCTCTCCAGCGGATTCACAGTCTTGCGGTTTCGCAGCCAAGTGTTCAGATCCAAGTTACCGCACTCCATCAGCATGTAGATGTAGCTGGTGGTTATTTCACTGTAAACACATCGGTTATGGTCATTCAACCTGCTATCATTCTTCATTTCGTATACAAAAAGTACTTCTAATCAGTTTGAAGGGGACGCGACGATGGCTTCAGAAACCAATGTGCTTACTAGTCGTACAGCTTGATGATTTGATCGCTGTACTGCTGCAAGCGATTCAGATGCACAATCTCATTTTTGTAGCTTTCTATTGTCTGAGCGTCAGCCTCCTCGAGGTCGACGTATTTCACAGCGAACAGCTGCTTTTTGTGATCGAGGACCTGATAGACCTGAAACAGAACAACGCTCGCTGATGACAAAAAGCCACGTCTATGATCCCTTTAACAGGAGTTTCCAACCGATGTTTTTACCTTGCTAGACCCGCCACGTCCAATCATCTTAAGTATGAAGAACTGCTTTCCCTTGATGGTAATAGTTTCATTTGACAACGCAGAGAAGGACGACTGGAATTGAATTAAAACAAACGTTATTGCAGCCTAATAACTTACTGCCAATGTAGTCACATGAGAAAAAAAGAAGAAGAAAAAACCCCAATGTACCCGTGCAGCATGTGCTGCGGGTCTAAAACACGGATTCAGTATCCAAGAGGAGAGCAGAAGCGGGGAGAGAACATGACGTACCTGTGGGGTTTGGAAGCCCGGCGCTTGGTTGAGCGGCGTGCACGGCTGCTGAACGGGTGCAGCTCGGTGCGCTGCTACCGCAGAGGGGGGCACCTCAGGGCCTCTCTTTACAACAGGGGTAATAAAGCTTCGGGGAGGGGGTGGAAGGGGTGTTAATGCTCACAATTGTTTCATTGTAAAAAAGCAGCACGTGAAGAAGATAGATAAAGCAAATAAAATGCCCACTGACTACAGTCAAGAAAATACCTGCTAGCACAGCGGTTCCTGTAGCCGTTGGGAGTCTGACAGACCGACTGTGGGTTCATTCTTGAAGGAAGGTTGAGGGATGGAGTAGGAAGGGGCTCCAGCATAAAGGGGCCGGGTCTGGGCTCAGGAGGTGTAGTTTGCTTATCCTGGGAGGAAAAGGATTTTGAACCATCTGATCAGCACTAATTTAAAAAATACTGACAGAAAAGGGGAACGTAGTAATCAGTCCTCAAATCGGACATTGAGAAAGCAGCTTATGAAACATTGTACATTACTAACTAACTACTACTAACGGATGTCCTCACACCTCTGGGGAAACGTGCCGGTTGGTGACAGCTGGCATCTTCCACTCGGATGCCGGCTCCTTGCTGGCAGCTTTCGGCTGCTCAGTTGACCGGCGCACAGGGACCCGAGCAGGGAGCTGCAGCTCCTGGTTCCTCCCGCCGGTAGAAGCACTCACTGCGGCAACGGTTTGCCAATCTAAAAGAAAAAAAAACGATTTCAGTGACGGACCATCTCCAACTAAGTGCTTCAACAGCTCTCCTCGGTTAATCTCTACCTGTGGGAGGCTCCTCCTCCCTGGTGACTACAAGCTGTTTCTCTCCAGCCTTCAGGTTACGTACGGCCATCTCCAGCAGCTGTGCGGGCCGGGCGTTTAAGGCCTGGGCTTTGTGCAGAATGGAAGTTGCTTTGATAACATTACCTTAAAAGGATAGAAAGAAAAAGAAATTGTAATTTCCTATGTTTAATCAGTGAAATGAACAGTCGGGCTCTCTAAAATAAAGTCAGAGCATGTAAGACACATCTGTACAATCAAGTCGTTTGTTTTGAAGTTCTCCATCTGAATGTGCCAAAAGTAACCCTGCCTCTATCTATAAATAATATAGTATTTTTTAGCTGTATTCATCAGTCAGATGATATTTATAGAAACTAAAAAACAAAGCTATTTTACCTTGCGAAACCTCAAACTGTGCATGTGCTATGTGGACAAAGGCAAAGCCTTTACAGTTGGATCTTGCAACTATGAAGTGGTCCTGGGCTTCATCTGGATCCTCAATCCTGCAAGAGAATAAAAGAAATCTTCAAACACTTTTTGGAGACGGTTGGAGGGCTGTATGTACTGATTTTATCTTAGAGAAGCAAGAACAGTCACACATGCTTTCACACACGATGCATGACGATGGTAACATTTGATTAATATCATACAGGAGCACCAGTTTATTCATGTTCTATAACAACACCACGCCACATTTGGACTGGAAAATTAATTAAATAATATTGTTGGCCTTATCTCCCTTGAATTGCAGAACAGTAGTAGTGTGAAAAAACTCCCATAAAACGGTTTACAACAAAGGTTTTTCCAAATTAAATACATAACTAAAAGTAAAGGCTGAGCTTAAAAAAAGGTTTTACTGTACATTTTAAGTACTAAAGATGCACACATTGATAGAGAATGCGGTGAAACTCACCCCCTGAGTTCTGCATATCGGACCAGTATTCTGGCATAGCTGGCATTTTTGCTGAACTGCCTTATCGGCAGCCTGGAGAAGATTTTAGAATAACAGTCCATGAGCTTATTCAGCAGGTTCATGTCTGTGTGGGGGCTGCCTCTTTTCTCCAGGTTCATCAGATACGTCCAACACGACTCCGGGGAATTTGTGTTGACGACCTGGTCGAAGGTGAACGTCACATCTGCGAGGGGAGAAACGGAACGTCACCGGCAAAACCCCAAATGCACGTTGTTCCCAGGGCAGTGAAAGACGTGACGGCACGCGACAGGCAGTCTCGTACCCTCCATTCTCGGGGCGTCCCTTGCGTCGTGCGTGTTGAGGAGCGCGGTGGTGGAGTCCACGGCGGCCTGCTCCTCCCAAGGGCAATGCGGTGGACTGACAGCTGGCGGCTGAGAACACAGTGACACAACCACGTGACACTTGGCTTCTTTAACTCATGGTTCTGACTATTCTGACGTAGCTCGACCCAAACCTCCGCGGCTCCCCTTTTCTACTCACTCGATGGTACAATCGATCTACATCGACATCTTTTTTCTTTGTAGAGGACAGCCCGAACGCCAGGTTTGCGTTAGAACCAGATGTCTGCCTGTGAGAGAATTAAACAAATGAAGCATCAGCAACACATGAAAGTACGCCTTTGATATAATATTTCAGAATCTAGATTTTGCTATCTACAATATTGTGTTTCTCCAAGAATTCTATACTATAATTCTATAATATTTTTATTATTATATTATTTTTCCAACAAGATGAGTGGGCCACTGCTGGCTATATTAAAGAACGCCCCGCCAAAAGCTGTATACCCCGGGGAAACACTGGAAACTACGTTAAGAGGAAAAAAGAAACAAATGTTGATATGAAGAATTACCTGGACAAGCGTGTGTGGATTGATGAATCGTTTCTCTTTGAGGGCTTCTCATTAATGTCGTCGTCATCATCATCTTTTTCTGGGATGGGGAAACGTACAACAGGAACTCTCCCCGGCTGCAATACAAAAGTACAGAATGCCACCTCAAAAGTTCAAGGGCTATTTCATAGTTCATGTCATACAATCTTTGAAAGAATAAGAGAAATGGTAAAAAAAGGAAAAAAAAGAAAAAAGAGTAAAAGAATCACAAAGAAAAGCAAGTAGGATGAACTGCAACTCTCACCATGCCAAGTACTCTCTTGCAGTGAGATTCAGATCTCCAGCCCGATAGTTGTTCATCTGATGATCTACCCAGAGGCTCTGGCCTGCAGGCCAGAATTCAAAACATTGAATATTTCCTAGATCGAACTATCATATTAAATAATGGAAAGGGACGTTTTATTCCTACCCTGAACCAAAAATACTGGAGAGCTGCAAATCACTGCTGCCGTCCGATGTTCTGCACACTTTTTGGAACACAGAGCGCTTTTTGACAGAACTGTGCGGATCACTGTTCGACGACTCTGTCAAGGAGAAACCACAATAAAATCAGAAGACAAAAAATCATGTTGACATTTGATAATATTACACTTTAACAGTATCACAAACAATTCCTTGGAATTAAAAAAAAGACTCACGAAGTACATTTTCCTTATCCTCTGAAAAGAAGAAATGGGCTTTCCCCGACTGCATGCTTTGCAAGGCCGCCTCGAGCAGCTCCTTGGGTTTGGCGCCCAGTTCTATGGCATTCTGCACTATGTGAATGCCCCTCTTTGTGTTGCCTGTTCAGATGACATAGCAGACACTGCAATACCCCAAATAACCTCTTATGAGAATGTACTCATATGTACAATACCAACAACCGAACCTACCTTGAGAATGTTCAAACTGTGCATGTGCGATGTGCACAAATGCAAAGTTCTGGCTGTGAGATCTTGCCACGTTGAAGTTGGCTTCCGCCTCATTGACATCTTGAATTCTATTCAAAAACAGGGTGTTAAATGTGTGAACAATCTGTCCTACTCAATCTAGTGATTAATACTGAATTAAAAGCAGAAGGAGAATAAAGGGTATTTTATAATGAAGTAATAACTTGGTTACTCACGCTTTCAGCTCTGCAAATCTGACCAGCAGCCTGGCGTAGCTCTCATTCTGACAGTGTTTTCCCAGCGGCATGTTGGAGAACACTCTGGTATGAAAGTCAATAAGTCTGTTGAGGTGGTTATGATTTAGGTGAGGATCCCCTTTCTTCTCCAGGTCCATTAAATAGGAGAGGCAGTATTCGGGCGAGTTAGAGTCGATAACATGGTTAATTTGGTCCGTGTCATCTGTAACAAATGCAGAGGTGGTGTTATTACTTTAAGAATAATGTAACTATGGATACTGGTGTATATGGCGCTCACAGTGGCGGGACTACTCATTACCTTCATCGAAATACTGTTTAATTTTATTGATCTTTTGATAAAGCATGGCCAGCTGCTGCTTCCTGTCGGTGTGCTCCTCTTCTTCCATCTGCAATGAATTAGCAACATTTAATAGAACTTCCTCCAACAAGACAAGCCTGTAAAACTATTAGAACTTTTGAGGTTATCAGCCAGGAGGTGGTTGATGGAGTAACGTCAAGAGAACTAAAATAAATAAACTTCACGTTATCACAATGACGTGAAGCTTTGACGACGGTTTATTTATTAACGTTCACTAACTTGAAAGAAAGATTGTATTTATGAGAGCTGCGAAGGAAGGAAGGAATCCACTGACATATTCAAGATAACGTTATATTATTAGACCAAGATCTACCGAACGTATTAGTGTTTACAGTCTGAATTAACGTTAGCTCGGCCAGCTAACTAGCTAGCTAGCTACTTGTCAACGCTTTTGTTCGATTAGCGTGTTCGGAGGAAGCGACTTTGCTCCACCACACAAAGCCAATAAGTATAAAGAAACATGCATTAAACGTTTGCATTGACGTTAAAGAAACATTATTCTAAAATATCTCACCTTGATTTTTATATCATTAATCCAGTTATACGTAATAGAGCACGAAAAGGATCGCGTCAACTGAAAGTTTTCAAATATGCCACTTCCGTACCAGTCGCGTGTTGATTGGATAGTTTTTAGTGACGTCAGCACCGGTTATGTTTACAAACCAGAACTAGCATTCAGCATTCGGCCACGAAGGCATCTCGCTGTGCCACATTTTGAGCTTCCCCTTTACAACTTTCCATACAGTCATGTTAATATGTGCAATAAATCGTTTACAATTAACCATCAGAATGCCTTCTATAATATTTACACTACATTACATATCATTTAGCTGACGCTTTTATCCAAAGCGTCTTACAATAAGTGCATTCAACCATAGGGGTACAAACTCAGAAGAAAGAACAAGAAACAAGAAAGTGAATTTTCCTCAAATAAGCCAATTTATAATTTTCTATAGATGAGTGGCGTTATAAGTACAATTTAAGTGCTACAATCTGTTAGTCTTTTAGTCGAGGTAGAGTCTGAAGGGGTGTGTCTTTAGTTTGCGGCGGAAGATGTGAAGGCTCTCTGCCTATTTAGAGTATATTTAGAGAACACCATCGTTTCTTCAGGTTTTGTATTTCAGAAGTGTCATTTTGTTTTTGATTAAAAAAATGACAAGAGTAACCTTTGCTTTGATTTGTATTTAATCTCCCTCCATAATTCTGATTTCAATCGAATTGTATTAACAACAATAACAAAAGTATTACTATTATTGATAATTATCACATTCATCATTTTTCAATAACACTATAATTTCTATATTTATTCTAACAGCCATTCGGACAATTAATTGTATTAAATACACGAGAATACGGAACGTTAAACAAGACACAAATGTAATCGGTTTACCGGTTAAGGAGAGTGGAAGGCTCGCTTTCCGACAGTACCTGAACGCAGCGGATGCACGCTGCACTTCCCTGTTCTGGTTTCCTTGGTTCCTGCTCCTCCCCACTCAAAGATGGCAGCCGTGGGACACAGATCAGAGACGACACGAATTTAGGAGTTTTGTCATGAAACCGCATTGGAGTGTACAGCTGTTACATGCATGGCTTTAAAATGACAGGGATATAATTAATCTCTGCCGATGTGTTGTTTTACGTAATCCATTTAAGGAATTCGAAACATGATGTTTTTCTGTGTGCTACGCTAGCGAGCTACGTTTAGCAAATACACGAGCTTGCCTCTTCTGCCATACAAGAAGAAAGCAGCTGCTCTGTATACGGTGCGTTGACCATTTGCAAGGTGCGCGTTTGTATTTTGGCTAATCCAACGTTGATGCAAACATCTATTGTTAAGCTATAACGTGGCAGCTATTGTGTTATTTAGCATTATTGCTGGAAGAAATTGTCTTCTATCTTAACCTTAACCTCCGGTCTGCCCTTTGTTGTACGGTGACAATCGCGTATCTTGTCAATATAGCGTCAATAAGTCGTGTTAACCATGTTCAAAGTCATCTATCGTTAACACTTACGTACAGTCCACTTGCTAGCTAAGCGTATCTGTTTGCCCGCAAGCAGCATTTAAATAAGATGCTAATGTCACGGCTCTCCAGATTAAGAATGCCACGTTTGTTGATACGTCAATGAATGTTCATTTCGCCAATTGATTTATTTTGAAGGACCGATTCCTAGCAAACTGTTTTAAATGTTGTGCTAACCTGCACGGTAATCGGGCCAACGGTACTGAAAGCTTGCCTTACTACACACCCTGGTTCTCTGGCGCTTAACAAGTCCTGGTTATTATTTAGAATCCAAATGCTAATATTTTCTCTCTCATCTCCCAACAGCTCCGTTTCATCATGGCCATCACTCAGTTCCGCCTTTTCAAGATCTGCACGTGTCTATCCACCATACTTTCCTTCTTTAAAAGGTTGATATGCAGGTGAGAACAACTGAACACGTACTCCTGATGCACACTATTCTTTTTTCTATGATCATCTTGCTAATGCGCATTAATGTCAAACTTAAAGATGCCTGAAAACCCTTTTAACGGAATGCCTTTTGAACAATTAACAGGATACACTAATTATTGTCACACACATCTGAAACACAGTTGAATAGCTGTTTTATTTTTTAATTAACTTGAATGTTTAGTACACAAACTCTGTACATCATTTGTGGTTCACGTACATGGTTGACAAATGGAATGAAACATGAGAATTCATGCTCAACGTTAAGTTAGCAGAATTGAAATCCCTGTCACTTTATCAATCTTGCTACACTAAAGTTGTCTGGTTTGGTCTGCTGTTAAATTGGTTAAATTAGTTCATTTCGACCTTCAGGAGCGGAAGGGGTCGCAAGCTCAGCGGTGATCAAATAACTCTTCCGACAACGGTGGATTTCTCATCCTCTGTACCAAAGCAGGTCAGTATTATGTCCGTCAACTTGCCCCTAGAAGTCCAGGGCCTATTGTTCAATATTGAGGCAATGCAAACCACAGATATAATCATTCGACAGAAATTGCATGGAGACTTTCATGGATTCGCACATTAACACTCATCACATTTTACTTAGTGTTTTTTTTTGTCTATTCTGCACAGCCAGAGATCGAAGAATGGAGCTCTTGGGATGAAGAGGCTCCCACAAGCATTAAGATTGAAGGTGGCAACGGAAATGTTTCTCCTACTGGCAACGAGATGGACGGAGAGCCCGACTACTTCAAAGACATGACCCCCACCATCAGGAAAACACAGAAGGTGCGTCCACACACAGTGACAATGTCCAGTCTTACCCAAACAACTCAAAATGAATCACCAACTGTAGCTTCAATAGCTTGAACACAACAACCACGCTCCCTACATTTGCCACGTTGTCTGTTTGAAACATTGCATGTGCATGTTCTTTCTCACCGTGACATTTTTATTTCAGAAGTGTCTTCATTTTATGTTTTTGGTGGAGTTGGTTTTGGCTTCAGGCGTGACCTGTAAGACACTGCTAAGCAGCAAATACATTTCCCAAGATGGAATTGTTAAAAAACCCCATCACTAAACAAGTAAATGGTAAACGTAGATGATCCTGCAACGATGGATTAAATGAAATCATGGATAATTTATTTATTTGAAACTTGTCCTCACTTGTTGCTTCTAGAGATATAATAACAATACATGATATAATATGAACATACAAGGACATGATATAATGTACTTGCAATCACACCTATTAACATTGTAATTTGTTTAGCCGATGTATTCAATGAATCTGAGTGGGATTGCAATCTGTCACATGGTGCTTCTGTTTATGTTTTAGCCGCTGTCTCCCTTGTCTCCGTTGTAGATAGTGCTGAAGAAAAGGGAACCTTTAAACTACCTGGTACCTGACGGCTCAGCAGGTTTCTCCAGCAGGCTGGCAGCCTCTCAGGATATGATGTCCTTCAATCCACCTTCGGTAAGTTACAGCTTTATACCACAAGAAGCCTCAGGAAGGTTCTCTGTTGGCAAAACACCCAACAATAAATTATGGTTATTAGTCAAAGTGACTGAGCGCCTCCAGTAAAGAGCATCGAGTCACTTTCTATTCACTCTGTTGCTCATTTAAAGATATTTTCCAGGCAGTAGTAAACAACAAGTCAGACCTTTAAAATAAATAAAAACGTAGGTTACTTATTTAATGGACATGATATTTAAATATCCTTTTATTTTTATGAGCAACTAAATCTTGACAGATGTGTTAAGACATACACATTTAAAGTAGAACAATCACTAACTTGTCTCCGTCATGTTTGCGCGTTTGCACCTTTTTTTTTGGTGTTTTAAGGGGTATTTCACTAAATCAGGATATTAGATTGAAAACAAGTAGAAGATTTAGATTTTTCTCCATACAGTTCATCGCCAGTAAAGCTAGAGGAGACCTCCAAAACAATGGTTTGGTTAGGACACACTTGGTTTGGGCTTGATTCAGAAAGCTACGGATGTGTAATAGAAGTGCGGTAGTCGTGGACATACGTGTAAACGCTTCTGTGCAGGCTGAGCTGGGAGAAATGGATACCTGGCAGGAGAACTCCAACGCCTGGGAGGATGGATCGGAAGCTGCATGGGAGGCAGAGGTGGTGCTCAGGTAATATTTCGAGAAGTTTTTGTGCTGATACACGGTGCATTTACATGCACTAGTACCACTTTGTCAAGGTATTTTAATATTTTACTTTTTTTTTTTTAATCATTAATAATGTACCAGTCAGTTAAAGGAACAGTTGCATCATCTGTTTGTTTTGTACAGTACCAGTCAAAAGACAAGTGTACAAACTTTTGACTGGTACTGTATGTAAGACAGAGGAGATATAACTATAAAATAACTAATATAACTATTAATCACTCATATAAAGCAGTCTGCAAACATATATTATTGGTATCAGCGTACCATAACACACAGGACATGGGCTCCTCTTCGCCTTTTGTATTGTTTTAAAAAACACTTTAAATAGGCGTCGTCACCACCTTTCTAATGATGGCGATAATAGCGTAAAGTCCCTCTCCGTTTGGTGTTGGCGGGGTGTAGGTCCACCTACTGGCCAGCAGGGGGCCGTGTAGGCTGATAAAACCACACAGCGCGGAGTGAGATCCCGCTGTGCCCTCTGCCAGCGGGCCTCACTTCTGGTGACGTGGGGCCTAGTGACATTGCTTGCAGACGTACATTCGCCCTTTGCTCTATCCCGCAGGCAACAGAAGATGGCAGAGAGGGAAAAGCGGTCCATGGAGCAGCAAAGGAAGAAGATGGAGAAAGATGTTCAGAGGCTGACGAAGAAGGAGCAGAAGATCGCCGTCAAGCTTTCGTAACCTTTTCAGAGATGCTCGGTTTTTGAGCCAAAGGAATGGGAGGGGGCAAGGACACTGAATCAATTGTCACTCTGTCTTTGAAGTCAACATACCAAACAGGATTACTTCACTACTTATCAGTCAGCAATCTGTCCTACTTCCCCCGGTTTCCACCAGCAGTCATTTTAGTCCATTTTCCAGCTGCAGCGGCTTGAAACGCATCATTGTCGAAGCCAGATAATGCTCTTGTACTCCCTATTCATGTGCCGAGGTCATTGTGCTCTGCGAGGGAGCTGTGTCTTTGGGATCTAGTTCATCTGAGGTTAAAGGTCAGATGCGGCATTAGAGGGTACCATTTAGATTTAGATCTGTCTGTCTCTCGGGTAACGTAGAACACAAGCAATTTGGGTTTTTTTCCAGGAACATTTGTAAATAAATAGGTACCAACATTTTTGAAACCCTACAAGGGAGTATATTTCCATTTTTTTGTCTTATTTATAATCACAAAGGAGTTTTATTAATTTCAAGCATCACTGTCTACCAGTGACATCCCTTGGTTTGCTTGATTGTTGTGCTTTTATATCCATTGTCTAAATCTTTTTTTCTCTCTAATGAATAATGCTTGATATTTTTCACTAGCCCCCTTTCCTGTGCAGCCCTTCCTACACTGTAAAACCTCTTATGAAATGACTGCTGACGATTTTAATTATATGTAAGGATGAATGACCATAGACTAGAATCTAGCCCAACCGTGAATGTTAGCTGTGGGTTCCTATGGTAATCACATGGCTATTGATCTGCCATTCATTCTCCTCCTCTGTCAGCTTGTGACTTTGAAGGAACTACTTCTGTTATCAGGGCGTTCATTTTTTTTAAGGGAATGGTAATATTGCGTTGCTCCTTAATGGTTGTTAGTCTCACTGCATACACCCGTATCCCCATCACAGTGTCATCTCCAACCTGTTGGATAAGAACTTGCTCGATAAGATGAAATGGGCTCAGCACCGAGCATCCCGCAATGCATTGTTATGTTGAATTAACCAATCAGTGTTGGAAAAACATCTGCACCATTTCCAATAGGGGAGCTTTTGTCATTGAAACATTAGATGGTGAAAAAGGCTTTTTTTAATTAATTGAAATCTACAGACGGGATACACACATCTCTGTTCTGTTACCTGATAACGGACTGGATGAGGTAACCAAAAGTACATTTTTTGTGAGCTAATTGATAGGTTGTTATCGAGGAATGAAATGATAACATACTCTGTTGCAATTAAAATGGTGAAATAACGATTGCGTTATCAGCTTTATTTTAAAGCAGGTGTATTTTTTAAGTTAATTGTGTTTGTCAAACTTTATTTCATTCTTCATCGAGAAAAGCTGTGTGTTGTTCTGCTTGGACATTTTCCCAAAAATGAGTCAGAGAATCACTCGTTTCTCGCCCATTTTATTTCTCATTCATGTGTAAGACTTCTTGTTAAAATAACTGTCATGATTAAGAAAAAACAAGGTACATACATTAAATTAATCCAGAAGGATTTGGCAGATTGTACACTTGCTGTATTGGTCCTACAAAGGTTTTTAATAAATTGATTTGATTCATACCTCTTAGAGGTGAAACCTGGTTGGTCTTGAGTCTGCTGCCATGTGCAATTTGGGAAACACAAGATGAAGTATTCTAGAAAACGGACATATTAAATTATTGAACTTTGCTTTTGGTACATCATAAGGATGTGTATCTTTTTATTAGCTGTACTAAATGTGGCTCCACTGATATCAGTCTGTCACTGGAATATTTTGGTGGTGTGCCGTGAAAATTTGGTACACAAAAATGAGCATGAGGATAGATGGGATGTTGTTTAAAGGTATGTTTGTCTCTTTATTATGCAAACAAAAAAACATTGAGACTAAATTTCTTGCATTACGGCAAACATCAAGTTTGTAAGTAAAAATATATTTAAAAAATATAACATGTTTTGCTTAAGAAACTACCATTTTTGGCTGCAAAACAAAAACTTTGGCTTTCAAAAACTTGCGATTTGAGTTCGGACGGGACGGGCGGTGTTTTCCTTCAACCTCTCGTAAGGGGAAACACTTCTCGCGAGATCTCCCAGTAGAACTCCTGAGAAGTGGATGACACTCAGGATTCGGGTCGCGCTTCGCCCGTCAACGCAGGAGCAGCAGAAGCAAACACTAAGCATCACATCTCCCCGCAGTCACTTCTGTCCATAACATTACACAAACATATCGCAACACCAACATATATATTTAGCATTTTACAGTTTTAGATGTCACGCACATATAAAATAAGAAAAACAAAGGACACCTGCACATATTTAGGTGCGTCTCTTATAATACCGTGGTTAAACCGAGGTAAAACTACAGAGCATCTCTTTTATATGTACTCCATAATATGTTTGATTATATTATCAAAAGGTTGTTGGTCTTATAAGGTTAAAACATAGGCACTTGTTTTAACGGATTTATGTGTCCCCTTTTCCTATCATAAACCCTTAATAGTTCTTCGTCCTTAAAAGGTCACACTACAACAAACAATGTTGCATATCATGCTATCCTCTCAACACTTAAAATAGTTTTTGTCCGTGTGCGGGTGAGTGTGTGTCAAGGAAATGATGACTACTTGCGTCCATGTATCTTTCTATTTACCTGTCCATCTATCGACAAAGAGCGCCACCAGTCCAATGGCATGTCATTGTGGCTGAAAACGGTACTGCACCCGATTGACGTTGTACGCGCGTGCGTCATTGGTGAGAATTGCATATGAGATGACGTGACATTTGAAAAAATAACAGAACAATCTATTGGCCCGTATTTCCTGTTGACAAAGAAAAGCACACAAGCAGTAGAATGAGTAGACGCAATGGGATTTAGTCTGAGGGATCACCAATCAACTTATACAATTGACTTTTCTTATGTCTTATACGATATACGTTTTAATACATGTGTATTTACACAGCGGTTGTGTGATAAGCAAAACTAACAAAATGTATTCTCAGTTAATATATTTTTACTTAAACTTTTGTTTTCAATGCAAGAAATTTGCTCTCCAAACATCTCCTGTCTTCCATCACTCTCATCAGTTAGGAGAAACTGCCTGACCAAATCCTCTGAGAATAACCCACTTTCAAAAACGTTTAATGCACATCCTTAGTTTTGAAAAAGAGATGAGCTAAATGGCTAACTAATTGTCACCCGGTTGGATTTAACGATTGCTTCCCACTCTTTTTAATCCAGCATGCAGTCTACGTTGTTTGGCGATTACAGAATCTAATCACTTACTAGTCGGATGCTTTATGAATCTAGAGGTCCTGCTTATGCAATTTAAGACACATCACCATATGGCAGAGGGGACATGGAGTAATCCTGGCAAAGACAAAGTTCTTTTGGACTTAATCAGCTTTATTTTTTCCCCATTTCCAGGGAAAAATGGGTAAAAATGTTATGCAATTACAGACGGTTCTTCTAGGCAAACATGTGCCCTGACCCAGTTTTTACTGCTATAAAACAGGCACAGATGACATTTTTACGGCTTCTGAGAGATCCCAGTTAAGTGGATCTAATGCACTTCATTGTCAACTGCACAACCCAAGGGAAGTCTGCAGAGGCCGGGAAAGCTTTTACATCAGCCGAGCAGTCATGAGAACACTGCTTGGTTGCACTCAGTTACAGAGGCAGTAATTTCCCCTTTATTATTTCATGTGAACATCTTGTGCAAATGGGGAAAAAACAACAACATTTTTGGCCAGGATTTTATCATGCTTTAATAATAAATATACAAGTACATTTGATGTAAATTACCAGTATTGCACATAGTTCAGGCACATAACAAGTGTCAATTGCTCTTAAGCATTGCTTTATTTCTAACAATGCACAGGCTGCGCCAAATAAAGCTCTACTCCAAGCAGGGAAAATAAAATACACTTCACGAAACGCAGTGAACTCACATTAAAGCTTTGGCTGAAGGTTTCTTTTTGAACGAAGAAAAAAAAAAAAGAAAAAAAAAAAAAACCCCACACTGGACATATCAAACCTATCAAATAGAAACATTCAATCTTTCACCCCCCCCCCCAAAACTATAATTTTTAGAAAATTAATTTTTATAAACACTGGTAAGGGACACCACACGACAATAACACAAAACCATCTACCCAGATGATCAGTTTCTACATGTCAATTATAAATACATAAATAACCCCGTTTATAAATAAAGCCTTTCTTGTCACCATTTTGCTTCAATCCATGGTAACAGCACAGTGCAAAGTGCGTGCAGAGACAAACTTAAGTGTGTTTAACAAAAAGAAAAAAAACACCCGCAAGAGATCTTGCAAAATACTCCTGAAACAGATGCTTAAGTGCTTTTAAGTTAGAGGTCAGGCGCGTGCATGCGGGGTGAAGGCCTTCACGCATCCGGCCTGCGAGTGACGTGACGGAGAGAGTGCAATCCCACGATGCAACAGCCCCTGATGAGAGCTGAGATGTTGTACACTGGAGCACTCCCGTCCACGCCGTGCCTGGAGTACAGCCAAGCCACCGTGGGCAGCACAGGGGCTGCCACGGCAACCAGGTCCACCAGGAAGCTATTGCTCCAGTAACGCTTGCCGTCCACATCCAGCCGCGGAGACACACCGGGTTCCTCCTCGCCGACGCTGAAATCCAGCTCTTCCATGAACCGTCGGCTCACTGCAGGTTCCGAGCAGCCCAGGCCGGAATCGGCAGAGTCGTCGGGGCTCTGCGGGGGATCAGGAGCGAGAATGCTGGGTCGGTGGGGTTTCGAGTCGGGGATGGCGGCATTGGCGGAGGGAGAGTCTGGCGGGATCGGGAGACCGCTGCAGGCTGACAGAGCCGCTTCCCCCCCTGTTGCTCCATGGAACTTGAGCAGCTGGAAGAGCACGGCCTGCAAGTCTGGCCCCACGGGCAACATGTCTGTCTGCATTCCTTTGTCCTCAGTGTCCTGCTGGGAGGGTGCGCTCATGGATATGGTGATGGAAGCCATGTTGTTTGGTAGAGCCGGTGGGGGCCCGATGGAGTCCTCAATCAACCGCCCCTCTTCTGACAGCGCCGACTCCCCAGGCACAGACTCCGCTGTCCCCGCAATCAGCTTGCCGCTGCAGTCCTGACTAAAATCCACAGCAGTGGACATGAAGACCTGCTCCAAAATGTCCGCTCTGTTGGCCATCTCGTCGTTTGCCAGCAGCCCGCTGTCCGCCATCGCCTCCGCCCCCTGGGTTCCCAGCTCCAGTCCACCCTCCTCATCCCCGACCATCTTCTTCCCACAGGGGCCGGGGCCGTCGCAGATGCAGTCCAAGGTGTTGTCGTCTTGGAGGCTAGTGCCGCTCTGGGCCAGCTCCATGCTTTGCAGCAGGGACTCCAACTTCCTGTTCTGGATGTTGATGTCGATGAAATACTTCTGTATTCCTTTATCCTTCTCCATCAGGCTGCTCTTCATCGTTTCCACCACCTGGCGCAGCTGCTTGATCTCTTTGCGGGCCTCTTTGAGAGACAACTGAGCCTCCACCCGGTGACACTCTTCTTCGATCCAGTCTTCCCTCATTCTGCCAAGCTGAGACTTTAGCTCCCCGACCTCAGTTTCTCTAATGAGGGAAGATAACGTCCACAGAAAATTAACAAATATTTTGATGTTTAAAAAAAAAAGAAAAAAAGTGCCGGGAGTTGGAGATTTGATTCAGCTGGAAGTTAGTTAAGTTATTGACCGTTTCATCTAACTGAGGGAAAGCAATTCAGTTTACAAAATAATGTTTTACGTACAAAGAATGTTTCATACAATGTATCAGGAAAAAGTATCGTATGGTGTACTAGTAACTTGCTGTATGTAGACAGGAAAGAAAATTAATAATAAATAATCTTCTGTGCTGCTAAATCTGAACTGACCTGTCCCGGACTGTGTTCTCAGACTCCAACAGTTTGGTCTTCAGGTGTCTGATGGCCACTTCCTTCTGCTGTAGCGGGGTGAGATACTGCTCGGGGTTCGGCGGTCTGATGCCATGGTTATCCCCGCAGGAGTGGAAACGGCCCGGGTTCACTCTTCTGTTGGTGAAAAAGACCATTTGGCTGATCAAAGGCAACGTTTACGTCTTTTGAAACAAATGTCTTCCCCAGTCAGTTCTCCAACCGGACATTTTGACGTCTCTGCAGAAAAAAACCCTATTTGGCTCGAAGTGAAATCGCTCACTGCAGACGTTAAGTTGTCTGTCCGAATGCTATCTGGGCAGATACTCCCTGAATCCTGGAATTAGTGTCTGACACAGGATTACTTGCATGTAGGAGAAGGGGGGCGGGGGTAAAATACAGGTTTATCCAAATATACAAGCACGGTTGCCAAGGAAAGACTTCACCTTACTTAAAAATAAATAAATAAATAAAAAGAACCCCAAATCAGATGCTATCATTAGCATTTAAATTGGCCATTGCATTCCTTGATCGGTGTTTAATCTTATCAGAAATTATAAGTTGCGTCTTTCTTTTCGATAGAGGATGTGTGGGTGGATTTGCACAATATGCAAAGCAGCATGTAAGCCCCTCTTTGAGCAGCACGATATCCTAGCAACCTGGGATACTCGAGTCCCTGCATCCCTGCCAGGAATAGAAACAGACCAGGAGACTGTAGCATGCCAGAAGAAAAGAGGTCACATGACAGCTGCGAGCATCCAAGTGGAGGGCTAGCATGCCGTTATTGGAGCTGTAATCAGAAGAGGGCAGATTTCACCGCTGCTTAAAAACTCAGCTGTGAGTTGAAGGTTTTGTCGTTTATGCTGCTGAGGGAAAACGTTTAGGTTGAACCGCATGCAGGGTGGCGCTGCTGCCAAACCAAAGTAGAAAACCTTCAAATACAAGGCCTAGAGCACCATGTCAGAAATCCATGCGGGTTTTTAGTTGCAGGCTATTCTGCCATTTTTTAAATATTTATGACTGTGTTCTCCCCGCCAACTGTTACGAAACCAATGCAGTCTGTAAGGTCAATGCCTGGGTAACATTCAGACATTTTCTCTATTAAATCTAAATTAATCCCAACCACAGCCAGATCATGAGCGATATAATCCTATACAGCTGGAAGAGGAAATGATAACGATCCAAGCTTAAACCAGCCACCCACGTATTCACCACAGCCCAAATCTCTCAGGTCTCCAAAATCTTTGTTTCTCCATCATCTAGTCGATGTTGCATTTGTAATGGATGTAACAAAAAATTGGAGAAATGTGGGAAGGTTATACATGACCAGGAGTCCACTCTAAAAGCCAGGATACCGACTCTGAGAGCATTGATAAGGTGATATGGGCTTGGTATACCTGGAGGTGGGGCTGGAGTTGCAGCTGCTGCTGTTGGTGGTGGAGGAGGCAGCTCTGGGAGGAGTCCTGTAGGGAGCGTAGAGCTCTGCACCGCGGTTAGCCGCCGGGCTGCCAGGGGGTCTGAACACAGGGAGTGGTCTGCGACTGGATAAAAGAAAGCATTTGAGATGATGTTTAAAGTTATAAAGTGTGCCTTATTCTAGCAGACCATATGGAGGAAGCTCAAACCTGCGCGAAGGAGCTTTCCTCCCAGCTGAGATAGAGGCCAGGCTCTCCTTGGTCTTCAGGCTGCCTGTGCTGCCTGAGGAGCTGAAGTCGGCCTCACTACCTAAAAAAAAAAAAGAGAACCACCAGTGTTTTAGTACAAAGAGACCATTTAGAAAATGGGATGTAGTCTTTAAATGAAAAGTGGAATTCATGAGAAATTAAAACAGATCAACACATTTTTCCAGCTACAGCATCACCTGGTCTGGTGTGACTCAGGTATCTAAACATGCATGAAGCAAAGAAGGGGCCTGCTTGGAGGTGTGGCAGTGGCCTAACATGAACACTAATGCGATTTTTCTTAATCATCATTTACCCTTTTTTTTAATTTCCATCCAGCTCTGTTACAGTCAAGTCTCGATTAAAGCGGGACTCGTTTCATTGCCTCTGAACTGCAATTCAACCATTTCACTCTCATGAAGGAAGCAACTAGATAGCACAGCCTGACACACACACACACACACACACACACAACCTCAGCAGCTTTTGGATGGCCTGAACCGCTAATATATAACCTTACAAGAGGAGGACATACGGTTAAACCAGCTCACATTAAATACAAACACCATTTACGCTGCAAAATCAGCCATTAACAGTCAGTGTGTGAGGGCATGAGGCCACGGCACAATACAGAAGCCTATTTCCAGCTATTCTGAATGATGTGCAGAAATGATTCAAGAAGAAATTCAAAGCTGTACCTGAGCAGCATCTTTTACCTTCAAACAAAACCATAATACTGTGTCCGGGAATTACTGTGACAAAGGAAATATTTCAAAAACCACGTGTTGCACCACCACTTGTGAGTCGTCTACTGGTCTGTGCGCGTTGAACCAGTGAACTAACCACCTGCTAATCAGCCTAATTGGCTAAGCTCCCAAACTGTCCCTTCAACCAATCAGCTGTCCTCCTCATTTTGACTCATGTTCAAGCAGTTTCCTGGTTCCCGCCTCGAATTAACAGGGGGAAGATTTTGAGATAAAAACCGCACTGTTTGTGTTTCCCTTCACTATTCCCTGCAGCATCTCCATAGTGTCAGACCATGGTGGTGCTGGCCCAATGACAGGTTCAAATCCTGATACTCGTTCTGCTTTTTTGTGTGTTCTCCTTTACCTCTGGCCTTCATGGCCGACCTCAGCTCCCTCTTGTGCTTCGGGGCGCTGCGTGTTTCGCCGCTGCGCTCGTCCACCACGCGCACCCTCTTCACCTTGGTCTTGCGCTCCGGCAGTGCGGGCGAGCCGTGGGCACTCTGCTCTGAGCCTGACGGGGTTTTGGAGGGGGACACAGACTGACTAGTGGGGCAGCCGGTGTCATCTATTGTAGACAGGCAACACAGACAGTAATAGCCAAGAACGGCAGTGCGGCGGGGCAGGCAGCCAATACAGGCAGTCAGGGTGCTATCTGACTGATTACAGCTGTTCAATTTAAGAAAGTTGTTGAGTACTTGGTGGGTGGTGGGTTTTAACAGTGATCACACACCGACGCACACACATGCACATTTGCAAAGATTTGTGAAAGAGGTGAACATAAAAGTAGTCGTATAATCGAGCATGCATGGAAAGTTAATTTACTCAGGAAAGACATTTTAGGTAACACGATCCTATCAAACCAATTTGGTGTCCTCAGACCGGAGCCAAACTTCTTACCAGAGCAAAAGCTGTTGGTGCTGATGGTCCTTTTGGAATGGTCTGAGCTGATGTCACACTCCTTCCCTTCCTCCTCTGAGAACGGTGAGTCAGACAGAGGCGAACCTTTGTCCTTTGGTCTGAAGGGATGGAGAACCAAACGCGGGATGCGGCTGCGCGGGCTTCCTTTCTCCGGCGACTTCTTTTCCTGCTCGAAGCAACATCAGCATGAAGCCACCCACCTTCACTCGGTGCACCTTCTTTTTTTAGGATGGCATATTTTTAAAAGACTGGATTTTGTTCAAATAGTTGGGCCGGCCATTTTTTTTATTGCATTGCTTTTAAAAAATAGCATTCAACATACAGAAACCAGTGACTAGGGGTAATTGATGAGACTTACCTCATATTCTTGGAACGGTCCCATTGTGCTTCACTCAGTGTTTTCCTCTGTGAAATGAAAAACGAGGGAGAGTATCAGCAAAGGTGCTTTTTCTGTGCGTATGCGTCAGCGTTTTGACGTGGCGCTCAAACCCTTTGCAGACAAGAGCCCTCTGTCTGAACTCTCTCCACTAGATCACACACACACACACACACACACACACACACACACACCCTGCCTGGTACAGATGGCACAAGAAGCCCGGAACCAGCTATAAAAGACGCAGGAGAAATTATACACGTTGACCCTCAAAATAAAAAGCCATGCACCTTTTTGAATCAGAATGATACTCTCAAACAGGCGACTGAAGATAGATGCATCTAACAAATGTTAACAGATATGAGATAACATGTCAGTAGCAATGCTAGTGGTGCAATGAGCTAAATGCTAATGACGGCATGCTCTCATTGATGATAATGCTAGAATTTTAACCTTTAGCAGTTAATATTTAGTTTGGCTTGTTATAATGGTAATAATAGTCAATCAGCTGAGGCTGGTTGAAAGTCATCACCTTTGCACATAGTTGGTTAGTTGTTGACATGTGTCAACAAAAAAACCCACAAATGCAATCGATCCATATGTATATTTTGAGGTATATTCCTGAATACGGTGATTTCGTTGACGTTCTAGAGACACTATGGATAAAAGCTAATAGCTCAAGTTACTGAGATGTTCTGTCTGGACCAAAGATTTGGGTCAATGGATTTCCATATACCTATGATGCCATGAGTGTGGCTAAAAACAGTGCAAGAGACTAATGCACATGTTCTAGATTTGCTTTTTGTCAAAGTCATCTTGGATTCACATGATTAAATGCAGGACAGTATTAGATGAAAGGTGTTAGATGTCAGCGCACCGCACTAACTCTCCCTCTGAGCCCAAACTGTGGGGCTGCAAGTGCTTCTATCATTGAGATATATAAGGAAATAAAGCAATATAAAAGGATACTCTCTTACAAAGAAGAAAGGTCACAGAATGAGACAAGAGTAGTTTGGAATTCTAGTCCAAACTTTTTGTAAATGCACATTTAAACAAGGAATAACTATATTTTATTAATGCTTTGAAGCTAAATAATGCAGAATTGCCCTCACGCTTGAATAAACTTCATACAATCAGTTCACGTCCTTTCGTCTTTTGATTTTCTCTCAGCGTCACTGCCTAAAGGGGTCAGTTGCGTAAGAGCATACATATGGGGGGGTTTTCATAGGGAATGATGTAATTGACCCCAAGGCCCGTGTGCTGCAGCCGCATGGGTGAACCCGAGCACTTGCTTCATCCAGATGGTTTACTTTTTAAACATTTTTCCTTGATTATCTGGAACAATGTTCTAACATAATGATACACCTGACCCAATATAAGCAGGAGACTTGTGCTAAATCCTCAAAAAGAGGATTGCAAAAATAGATCAGAGACTCCTGGGAGTCAAACTCAAACCTGTTTTTTTTTCATCAGCCTTAAAAATAGATTTGCGTGCTGTGTGGCCAAGAACACCTTGCCCGCAGTTTCATTTTTATTTTCAGGCATCGACAGCATCATCACACTGTGGCATTGCACGGCTGCCTGAAGCACTGGCACAGCAGCATCAGATTATAGGCACCAAGCAGGGCAGAGCAACCACAGCCGTGCCCTAGCAACAGCCTTAGCAACCGAGGGCGAAGAGCTCCAAAAAACAAATCCAGCTACATGGGATTTATTTTGTGCAAATCTGCGAACAGTGAAGCCTTCTTCTACGCATCCGGAGACGCTGTCCTTCACTAAGAAAAATAATAGAATGTAGCGGAGTGATGTGGGGGTGTTTGCCATTCAGCTGCACAGTGTTTTTCAGCGTGAACATTGTGTCCTTGAGCCAGCGTTTGCAGACTAAAGAAAAGAAACAAACAGTGCAGACAACAGGTTCTAAAAAGGACACGATGCTGGTTGTCAAAATAATTCTTCCAAGGAGTTATTCAGGATTATGTGCGCTGGTAGAAAGCTAATGAACGATCACGGGCTGACATAATTAAATAAACATGTTAAACATGAGGGGAGAGTGACATTTTTCTATTTTAGGAAGTGATTTTTATAAATCCATGCATGCACACTTTGCAGGAAATGCATGAGGCTTCATTGGAACATGAAGAATCATACGTCAGAAATCAGACTGTCCACGGGCGGCAGCTTGTAACATCACACCCTGTCAGGTATTTGGATACAGACGCCTGCCCATGCACTGTAATTAATAATTGGTTTTTATCTGAGCTTTGGGGGCATTTTTTTGCCAATTTTTCTTGTCCTCAACTAGCCCACGTATAGAAGGATTATGCACCCAGATCCTCTGCATGACTCCAGACCACGTTGATTGGCTCCCCACTGGGCGACGGGCTAAGCATTATCTAACTTGCAAACACCGGATTTTCAGCTCACTTGAGCATGACATAAGTCCTCCCATCTACCTGCGATACACACTCACTCCAAAAACTCAACCACGGGTAAAAGTGGCTGGATCAGGAAGTAGATGGACGGGGGAAGGCGGATAAAGCGGGTGGGATGCTGACATCATGCGTACATGACGGGTAAACAAGTCTTTAAGCCTCCGCTGAGGCCGTTTCCCATATCCAGATGGTCTGCTCTCAAAACAGCATGGCGTGGGCGTGAATGATGAATTCCCTAAATCCATCCCAGTCTTTGAGCTTTTTAATGTTGATAACTCACTAATGTGAAAGCTGTTTATTCGTTTTTGATATCAACCCCCTCAGTCCATCTGTTAAATTGTGTAATTTCAGCGATGACGACATTCGATGCTGTGTGATCTTAACTTACCATCTATTTCCAAACAAAGGAAACCTGTTCTCTGAAAATGGACCGATTTCATTCTTTTGAGCACATTGTTTGCATCACTTGAGATTGCGTCATCATTGCATGACATTAAGTCTGAGCAATCACATTGATTTTCAGTGATCATCCTAGGGAGCATAAATCTTATTGAAGCCAATTCCAACACTGATTCGATTGGAGTCTTAGATGTTTATTAGTTTTTCAATCATACAAAAAAAGACGACTGTTGACAAGATGACAAACTTCTATGGCATCAATTCTCTGTTTTAGCACCCATTTACAAATACATAACGTTCTCCTAATATTTCAGATTTAACGTGAAAATGTAAAATAACGAACTAAATTGATATCAAACCAAACAAAGACACAGTCCTCTATTGAAAAGCCCCTCCCACATGTTTACATCTCTCCCTTTTCTTTTCCACAGCTCACTTCAAAGCCATTTTAAAATATAAGCCGGATCTGACTTCCCACTCTTGATATCCTCTTACAATGAAGCGTTTTCTTCCGCCCTGCCTTGAAATAACTTACTGTTGTATTCTACTATGGTGCATGCAACGATGGGGAATTTGGTTTTGTTTCATCTGACGATGACGCTGCTGGGAATGTTTGTTTCTTCCCCCCTATAGAAAAAAAAGGCATTCGAATTTGACTTGTGATTCTGAGCAATGAAGATGCCGTAAACATCCAACTTCATACGTCACGCGTCCTCATTTCACCCAAAACATGGATGCTGGTGTGTGTGGTTGATTCGACGAAAGAATCGTTCTTGAACTTCAAAACAACATTCACCCCACCTCCTCCCACCCTTCCAATAGTTTATTTTATTTTCTTCGATTTTTTCGACCAACGGTGATGATGAGTTGCTTTGAAATGATCTTGAAAAGATTGCCATGCTTGCCTGGATGTGTGACGGTGTTTTCCTTGCAGAGGAGACGCGCGTCAGTCGGTGAAGCACAAAGGGGTCGTTCCGCTGCTGGTGCTCCGGCGGTGGCAGCCTCCGATCTGCTGCTCGCTGGGGGAGAGAGCTGCGTGCACACTGAGGAGGACTCACGCAATTGGACAGGAAGCGAGACCACTGACGGTGCACGCGCGACACGACCGTACCATCCCGAGCGCGTTACATAACGCGAGAGGCTCGACTCAACCACTCACAGCCCACGGGCTGGTACGCAGGCTGCAACGCACGCGACGTGTTTATATGGCAACCTGGCATGTGATCAACATGCAATGGAAACACTTCATAGAAAGCGAAATATCTATGTTTCCACATGACACACGTGACATGAAAATGTCCTAATTTCATATTATACCGAATGTTTGTCGTAACGGCTCTAGATTTGTGGAATGTCGTATTTCTTAAATGTTATTATTTTGACTGAGTGACGTAATGTGATGTCAGATGCCACCATGTTTCATATAGTTTGTGTTGAACGTACGCAGGGGGTCTAACTATGTATACAGAGATGCGCGTGTTTGCTCTCCGTGGTGCTGAAATCCTGGAGGCGCGCGATACTCCCGTTCAGCGCATGCGCATTAAATGCAAATTTATCGCGGTGACACGTACCCATTCTGTAAAGTAAACATTAATAATGAATGAGTTTGGGAATGCAGTGGTAGATTGTCAGTCACCATAGTCCTAAGGAAGCACGTGGTGCCATGGATCTCTGTGTACAGCATTTTGAACAGACGTGAACATAGTGTCTGCAGAGACATCCACCATTAAAAGTAAGTTAGACTGGGTTCTGCATGGATTGACATAAGACCCCCATCACTATGGCTTGTATTACTGCAACTCACAGCTGTTTTTAAGGAGTAGAGCAGGGGGTCTCAAACTCCGGCCCGCGGGCCATATCCGGCCCGCAGTTGGGGGTACCAACTTTGGCGCACCCCCCTCCCCCGTCCACCGTATACCGTTCGCCGGTTCAATTGTTCCGGAGCAGATTAAACACACGTGAACACGTGCCTTTGTAATATGGCAAGTAACTGCACGTGGTACAAGATGTATGTTTGACATGGTGAGCTCCGGTTGCTTCAAAGAGTCAGACAAAAACATCATCGATTCATCATTAGGACATTAGGAAAGTACAAATCTGATGGGTGGTGGCACGTGTTCGCTTGCTTTGATGACACTTTCAGGTAACATGGAGATAACATGTTCCAACTTGATGTTTTCTGCCATTGGCAGAACTGGTTGTTTAACAGATGTTTAACAGAAGTTAAACAACCGTCACCTTGACTTCAATGCACATTATTTTGACTTTTTGTTTGACAACCTTGTAAGTCGTTGTTATATTCTCTATATGTGTATTTAACTAGCATGTTTTCACTGCTGTGAAACAAACACTAGAGGCTCGTACACACAGGCAGATTGTCTTGGAGGACGTGAACGTAGCATTTGGACATTGGGTTGTAATAACTACTAATGTCCGCTAGAGGTCACCCGTGTAATTTAAAACATGTTTGGTGATTTCGAGTGACTCAACATTAAAAATAAATAGTTTGTGTGCGAGTGTTGTGTGGTGTGTGTGTGTGTGAGTGGGGGGGGGGTATTGTGATTACATCGAAGTGATAATAAATAAATAAAATGCAGACCTTTTCCCTTCCGTTTATTATCCTTCTCCTCTTAAAATGCTATCCGCCCCACACATAATCATTCCTTAAATTCCTCATTGCTTGTTACTCATTACTGTTAAATCCATTTAAATAATGTATATTTCTTCAAAAATAATGCCATTGCTTTATGATCACCCAAGACACGATGTGTGCATCTTTTCAGTTTATCTGCGCGTAAATCTTATCTAATCTGATTTGACGTGTCGCTATACACTTTCGTACCTGTGATAAGGACGTTAACTCTTTGTTTTGGACCCGCATCTACTTTGGTAAACTTTGGACCGCTGCAGTAGTGGAAGTATCTGCAGCTCAGACGTATACGAATTGTTGTCTTAACCATTTCTCTAAAATATCTTTCCAAGGAAGGAGCAGTTTAATTGCATTGCTTTATCTAGTACTAGTTGTCCACATCTATTGTCATCAAAAAAAAAGAAAACCTCAACTATCTGGAAAGTTTAGATGAGATTAGCAAGTGGCTGCTAAACCTCCACCTCCAACAATAACTTTCCCACATGGACTAAAGTGTCTGTGTCCGTTGGCTCTCGAGCGCGTCTGTGACATGAAATCGTTTGAGAACTCCTGCACCGACCGACCGTGTGGGCGTGTTTCCCTCAGCCCGACAGCCTCCGCTCTTCTGTGCAGTCCAGAGCGCAAAACGCACTTCTTCTGATGCGACTGGAGGGCGCAAAAGCAGCACTTCTCCAACCCTTTACGCGAAACACCCCTCCCCAACTGCGGCTGCCCCTCGAATCCAACTTTACTGAGCGGGAGTTTCTATCTTCCTGGGACTCATTCAGCCATGGACGCATCAAGACTCTTAACGCTCTATTTGGGGCTGCTCCTTTCTTTCCTTGGGAATATACCGTGTTTCCAGTCTGCTGCTATCATCTCCCCCTCTGCGCCGAGGAGAGTCCGGGGGGCCCGGATCTCTCATCGGGACGGACAAAGGTCATCCAAGATCCTAAAAGACATCCTCGCGTCTACGCACCCGGTCGTGGGCCATCACAAGGACGACCTAAAGGACGCTATTGTGCCCCATGAATACATGCTCTCCATATACAGGACATACTCGGCTGCAGAGAAGCTCGGACTAAACGCAAGCTTTTTCCGCTCCTCTAAATCTGCCAACACCATAACAAGTTTTGTGGACAGAGGAACAGGGTTGGTTTCAGTCCGTTGCCGGCTCTGCCCGGTTCTTGCATAATTCAGTGACGCGGGGTTTTCTCAAAGACTGGTGTAATATTCCCGTTCGTGAAATGTGGCTTAAAATGACAGACGTGCATAGTACAGAAACAGAAGCCCGCGGCGGCGGTTTTTACGCACGATTTAAATCAAGCGAATAGTTACAAACACCCATAAGAAATATTAACGCGTTTTTCAAAAGAAACGTCAGAAAGCTGCAGGATTGTATGTTGCACATTCAGTAGTTATGTGATTGTGTTGGGTTAAATTGACCGAACAGCTGACGGAACCGGTATCTTTCCCCAAGTATTAACTTATATTACACTTAAATAACCTCTGGGTTACACGACAGTAAAACACTAATGAAGGCGCTATCTAAACGAAGGCAGTAAATCACTGTCAGCAAACGGCAGCAAAAACGACTCCGCTCCCTCCACGTGAATACAGAGAAGCAGCTTTTTTCACTTCAGTGGTTGTTTCATATCCGATTTTTTTTTAAATGAATCACTACACGCAAACATTGAAAACCATTTTTTTTTTACTTTTGAAATTACGAGCAGGGGCTAACCTCCCCAAACTCCTCTGAAAATCCAGTCAGTGGACATTATGCTGCCCAGTTTGGCCAACTTGTGCTGACAAAGGGAGCCCGGGGGCCAAGGCAGAGCTTGTTGGTGTGAGAAGCAGGTGTTTGGGCCAGTTTAACATGTTGTAACCAGGTGATTCGACCGGCCTGCGAGAGCAAACATCTTATGAACACAAAGGGACATAAACCGAGTTAATCTTTGTAGGAGAAATAAAATATATCTTTGTTTGCGCCCCCCCCCCCTTTCCCCACTAACCCCCCTCACGCTCCGAGAATGTGCCCTGCAAAAAATATCCATCATCGACTTATTTGGTCCAGAGTCTGCTGCGTAAACCCCGTTGATAGCTGCATACATGGAAGTAGTCTGCTCAGCAAATCGACTTCTTTTTCAAGACAAGGAAATGCTTGGACATTATAACAGTTGATTTCAATATTTAATGCGTTTTGCTTTAAAAAAAAACCCTCATTGAAATATAATACGTTGTGTTTTTTCACACGCTCTTTTTGAGACGGGGGAAAAGAGTTAAAGGACTAATTATGAAGATAAAAGGCTCGTCCGTGTGGCCATTTTTTTTTTTTGCAGTGTGAGCGGATGTGATAGGAAAATGCCTCACTTTCTCCCATGATTCTGATGTGATGTGTCACTGGCTCTGACCCCGAGCTGGACCCTCAGAGAGCTGCTTGCCATTGAACGGCTGATTGGAGTATTTGAACTCGGTGATCTAATTGAGTGTTCATGTCATAACATATCCAACACTGTCTATTCTTCCATAACGACCCAGCTCGGCCACGGTGGGCACATCACCAAAAAAAAGAGATGAGGAGCGAAAAATGAAAGAGCACTTCCTCCACTGTGAGGTGTTTTCTTTCTCTTTTTCTTTTTTCTCTTTTTTTTTTTTACTGTTGAACCTCCCTTTGCGAGCGCCCCTTTAATCACGGAAAATTATTTTTTTCCTTCTTGTTTTTTCAGCTTAACTGCCTTTGGTTTCTGGCGGAATTCCTCACAGCATCCCTAAAATGTTACTTTGCATTAACCTGCAGACCCCTGCTTATTTCATTCAGGGAATAAATCCATACGGGGCCGCTTTTGACGCGTAAAGTAACAGGTTTTACGTCCTTTACGCGTTGTTTATCCAAGCAGAAACGGGTTTCACAAAGTGATCTACGGCTTCTTGGGCTCTCGCCCGTATGAAGGTATATGACCTGAACCCAGGTGGGATGTTTCTCGAGGTTCAGAAAAAGGCACGATTAGAAAATAATAACCCACATTCGAAAACTCGTTTTGGCACTTGGGGGTAACTCATTAAAGGACCCGGCCTCCCCTCCACCCCCCCCCCCCCCCCCCTCCCCATCGCCCCCTCTCTCTCTCGCTCTCTCTCTCAAAACAGAGGCATAGATGACAAAATATGTTTTGCATTGGATCAAATTCAAGCAACAAGGTCAAACTAAAGTGCACAGGATGCCGTTCTAACCATGCAATAAAGCCCCCCCCCCCCCCCCCCCCCCCCCCCCCAATTATCCACCGTCAAGCATCTCACGCGTAATGGAAAAAATTGGCTTTTTACATAGTAATGAAATTAAGAAAACCCTCGACATTTTTTTAACTGTCAACACGAATATCTCTCAATGGTTCCAACAGTATGTGCAGTCACTCAGTCCGTCCGTGCAGGCGCGTTTTAAGGGGAATGTTGACGTTGGCAGGATGAGAGGAAATATAAGAGGGGAAGTGCTTTAATGGGGAAGTTGGGAATTCACAACTGTTAATTGTTTGGTGAACTTGCATTCGATTTGTTTGAGGTCTTATAAAAAAAAAAGAAAGAATCCTAATGCAGACCATACGCGCGAAGTCACTGAAACGAGCACACGGTTCCAATCTGCTTTTATGGTTTGACTTGGCAAGATTCACGAAGGGAAACTAACAAATATACTTAAATATCCCTTTAAAGCAGATTTTACAACTTATATGACAATAGTTCTTAAATGTAGGCAATCTTTGTTTGTTTGAATTTGAGATAGAAACGGAAACAATCAATGATTTCATTTGGCAAGAATCATTCATCTCAACAAGAAATTTGATTCAGATTTTAGGATTGAAAGCTGTTTATTTTTATAAGTGGAAAATATGACATTTAAAATGAATGATATCGCAACTAAAAATTAAATAAACCAAGTGTTTGTTTTATGAGATTTATTTTGATGAATTCTAAGTTCTGTCACGGGTTCTACATCTCAATTAAAATATCGGAAAAAAGAAGGAAATATAAACTATTTGCCAAATTGTTTCCGTTACGTGAGAACAACCTAAACAGAAGATAATCCAAAAAAATATAAATATTCTTATGGGTGATATTAGATCGAAACTAAGAACATTTTTAATGTGTCAATATTTCAATAAGCTACGGCTTAATATGCACAACAGCACACGCCAAATATAAATTATTTATCTAAAACATTTCTAAAAAGAACATTTAAAAATCTCTCTTCTTTAACGGAGAGGCGTTTTCACGCATTGTCCCACGGTGTTTGTTCTAATCTCATTAATGGGATATTTGCAGGCCTCCTGGGTCTCCGGCAGGGAATAATGCATTAATTGTGTATTGTTCGGTTGAGTACAGTATGTCGCCTTTGGCCCGTTATGTCTGGCAGCACCCAGGGGCCTCCCCACCACTCGGCCCCTGCTTCTCTCCTCGCCTCCCGACACTACCACAGAATACTCATTGCATTTTTTTTTTTTTGATGTTCTAACTGCTTCTTACGAGCGTTTTAGAGCGTGCAGAAGGAACATTTTACTTCCAATGTCAAAGAGCTTGAATCAAGTAATCAATCTGTCATCGAGCGGAATGAAAGCAGAGCCGTTTTCATTAAAAGGTCCTGGCCTTGATTAAAAGTGGCGTGGCGTTACATTTCAACTAGATTTTATTGGATTATTGGTACTGCAATAGGAAAAAAAGAATTTACGCCTTGGAATAACAGGTGGATAAAACATAAAAGGATAGACCCTGTGTACAACATGAAGCCTCGTGTACTTGCGTCACAAAACATTCTCAAACTGTTCAACTGCAACAAATGTGCATGGAATGAAATTATGAGTGTAAAGCATGTTATTGTCAATTGTTCCTTTAACATTAAGCAATATATTGTGTTATTATTATTAAGATAGTTCTGCTTGAATGGAGTTAAATGAATTAGAGAGCAGGATTTGGGTATTTTTTTAACAAATATTCGAATCCTAAATTAAAGCACGTCAGCTGTAGTTTGTTTCAGGAGAATTCAGGGTGAATACTTGAAGAACAAGAGGCAGAGAGAGAGAGAGAAACAGACAGACAGACAGACAGACAGACAGACAGACAGAGAGAGAGAGATGCCTCTGTGGGAGAATGCGCCCTCCCCCTCCCTCCCTCACTCCACCCACCCTTTCTGAACATTGTACACCCTAAGTGAATCTGACTGCAATTTATTTTCTGCTTTTATCCTTGCAGACGATCTTTTTGCACTCTCCTCTGCGAAGACAAAAGTATCTGTTTGATGTCTCAACCCTTTCAGACAAAGAGGAGCTGGTCGGTGCGGAATTAACGATATTTAGGAGAGCGCCCGGGAATCTGCAGACCTCCTCGCAGACGACTGGTCTCTACGACATCCAGCTCTACCCCTGCAGCTCGGACAGTTTGCTGGACTCCCGGTCCCTGGACCCGCTGGACTCCACCAAGGCCGGCTGGGAAGTGTTGGACGCCTGGGACATGTTCAAAGCGAACCAGCATCATTACCACCACCCCCATCATCATCAGCATCAGCATCAGCAGCAGCAACACTTCCAGCAGGGCAACCAGCTCTGCTTCCAGCTCCGCGTCACTCTGCGCAAGTCGGACACCGAGGTGGACCTGAGGCAGCTGGGGCTGGACCGGAGCGGCCGGTCCCAGCAGGAGAAGGCCATCCTGGTGGCCTACACGCGCTCCAAGAAGAGGGAGAACCTGTTCAATGAGATGAAGGAGAAGATAAAGTCGCGGAGGACGGCGGGCGAGAAGGAGGAGGGGGCGGCAGCGAAGGCGGCAGGGGCCACAGAGGAGGACGGGGTATCGCTGAAGGGGGCCAAAGGGGAGGGTCCCCGGCGGCGGCGGAGGACCGCGCTGGGCAACCGGCACGGCAAGAGGCACGGGAAGAAGTCCAAATCTAGGTGCAGCAAAAAGGCGCTGCACGTGAATTTCAAGGAGCTGGGCTGGGACGACTGGATCATCGCGCCCTTGGATTACGAGGCGTACCACTGCGAGGGGGTGTGCGACTTCCCCCTGAGGTCGCACCTCGAGCCGACCAACCACGCCATCATACAGACGCTCATGAACTCCATGGACCCCAACAGCACCCCGCCCAGCTGCTGCGTCCCCACCAAACTCAGCCCCATCAGCATCCTGTACATAGACTCCGGCAACAACGTGGTGTACAAACAGTACGAGGACATGGTGGTGGAGCAGTGCGGGTGCAGGTAGCGGACCGGATGCACGAGCAACACAAAACAACAACTTTAAAAAACAAAACAAAAATCAAAGATGAGCCTCGACGGGTCCCAGATTGAAGACGTGCGGCCCTCGCAGGTGTGACATTCTTGACCTCGTGACGCGCCTCTTCTTTGCGTCTTAAAGGGACGCACACGGAGGCGATGCCTGCTATTTATTCAGACTATTACAGTCACACCAATTCACACTCTCTGCCTTAACGTGTTAGTCCTTCGGTCCCGTCCACGCAAGGAGTCATCGATCGTCAAACAGGCTTTTCTTTTTTTGTTCGCCCCGGCGAGGTGGTACGAGGAGGGGGGGGGGGCTGGATTCCTACAAGGCGAGAGGATGCGGGCACATCGAGTCCGTCCGCGCACCTGTTCGTGCCGAGGCCACGGGACAGTGGGCTTTGTTGCAGCTCTGCCGTGTGATCGTGCACGCCAGCCGGGCCGGACTCCTTTTGGGTATGTGCAGCCAGGCCGTAATTGCCACCGTCCAGCTGGAGTCATTACAGGCCAGAACCAGTGCCCTGTTGTCCGAATCAAGGGGGGGTGAACGTCTAATCCACCAAACATCGCGCACGCACGCACGCACACACGCACACACGCGCACACGTACTGGACTCAGGAGAGGAGAAAAGGTGGTGGCGGTAATGCCTTCAAGAGATTCCTTTTTTTTTAAACCTGGAGACCAGTGGACAGAAAGGACACCAACCTTGTGCCAGACTGGGGCCCTCTTGTTAAAAAAAAGAAAGAAGAAGAGGAGGAAGAAGAAGAACAACAAGAAGAAGAACAAGAAAAAGCACACATAACTGAGGCGAACTTTTGCATCTTTACGAAATGCACTTCCGCAACTGCCTGCGCCCAGGACACGCAGTCGGTCACCGAGAGAGTTTGTCTTCACTGACGACGAACATTTAAGAAAAACAAAAGACTCGCCAACGAGACGATATTTAAATGCACATTAGCTTTGAATGCACTGCTGTTCATTACTTTGTTTAAGCTGTAAATATTTGTACAGTCGAAAACTTTACAAAGTGCAACGAATGAAGAAATGAGAAAAATGCATTTCTTGTAAATATACAAAATGCACTCAAATCGGTATGATTTCTATTCTATAATTATTTTATTATTTGTGATGTACAGAGTTCCATGATAATCATATATTTCTTACATTGATAAGAATAATTTAAGGTGTATTCGATATTTTTGCAGAGGATGGAAAATACCATTATTAATGTCTACCTCATAATTGCATATAGGATCTGAGTTTTGAGGTGCATTCAGTTAGAGTGTAAAGAGCTTTTACAATGATATATAAGATCATTTATACACATATATTACTGAATAATATTCCACACCATTACTGTACAAATAAAATTCAAAACAAAGTCTGCAGCCTCTGATGATCCATGCAGTTCTTTTTTCCGCATTCATTTCATACATTGAGTGCAGAAGTGCAGAGGCCGACCAGAAAGCACAGAAATATCTTTGTTTCTTTATGATGGAAAGAGGCCAAAAAGTTGTCTTTTTATCAATTGATTTATAAATACATCATGTCGGTCAAAATAAAATAAACGTTATCATATTTCTTTTCTTCCTGGATGATTACACACGCTTGACTTACAAACACAATTTCAAAATCTGTGTTTTTAAAATGATACGGAGCAGCCTTTCAGGAAAAATGTTATTTAAGGTTATACCAATACTAATCTAAGGTTTCATCAACCCTTACACCATAATTCCCTATAGAATGTCTTAAGCGCATATGGAGCACATATACATTTGCCTTCAGGTGAGAACGCTAATCTATGCTTCCCCTTTGTAAGTTTCTCATAATAGACAACAAATGTCATCATTCAGTGGATGACTGGGGATTGCGCCATATAAACATATGGTGACCATCCCAGTGGAAGGAAACCACTGACTGACTGTCATTGATATGGGAGCAAATGTACAAACCCCACCTATTTCCCAATGAATTACCCTGCCTGGGTCAAGTTTACTTAACACTTTAATGTTTCCCAATCTGTGGATGAAAAAAGAAAAAGATTTGAAAGAAAGGATTGCTTCCATATCGTCTATCGACCTTGGCCTGGAAACAATTAGGAAGTAGCTTTGAAATGTTATATGTTGTGCAGGCTCTTGTACAGTATCATGTCACTCCCCACATGCTTGCTAAGGGGGAAACTGAGGATGCTAAGTGCACTCTTTAGCGGCCGCCAAAAATGACTGACACAACGACCATTCCCCTGAGTCCAACCAAATTGCCCTCCAGGCTACGTGTCTGGAGCACCACTGCCGGGGTGCTGTTGCGAGCCACGTTATGCCTGCTTCTCACGAGTGCACCATGGCAGATATTCTGCACCACTTCAGAGGTTGGATCAGAAATACTGTAACATTGCGCAACGTAGGCTGCATTTTTAAGCAGCTTCGTGTATCTTGTGGGATAAACCTTTTCCTTGCTGATTTATATTTATTTGACAAGTTCCCCGGTCTGGTAGGCACTGGCCTGGAGGTGAGACCAAATGTGAAGGGAACAGTTAAATGGTGATGAAAGGGAAAGGAATGCTTTGTTTACGCGCTTCAATCCTTCACTCTCAAGTTAAATGTTCCTATAAAGTTCTTCATCACAACCGCCTTATTGTCCCTCCGCTCCGCGCCGAGGCAGAGAGAGCAAAAGCAGAGAGTTGTGTTTATTTGAAACTTGGCTCTAATATATTAGTCTAAGCAGACCGAAGTTGGCAAAGAGACGGCCCCTTTTCTTCAGAAACACAAATAGTCCTGACACCCCACATCTGTGCGTGGAGGCTCCTCTTTGGATATCAGCAAGGCAGCATGAGTGAAGATCTACTAGGTGTTGCTCCGAGAGGAAGGTCCCAGGAGCCTCTCCTAGATGTAAAACGCCTTGGCTTGTATGGCGGCACGACTGTTCCTCCCACTTAACCGCTCCGTTATCAGTGATGTCCTCATCAGCGGCGGGGAAGGCATAAATCACACTGATTTTTCAGAAGGCAAAGATCTCTAAGCATGCAGAAATTTGTTTAACCTGCATTAAGGACCATTAGAGAAGTTATCGCAAGTCTTACATCTTGCGTTTTGATTCGTTGAATGTATATTTAAATGTAGAGAAGGTAGAGAAAAAAGAAGCCTTGGCCGCTGCCAAGGCTGGCTTTCAAACTGCTACTGATACAGTCCAGCAAGATCTTATTTGTTTTTCATTGACTGTTTCTCTCCTCACAGATTCTTTTATTTTTTTGCCTCTAGAGGGGTCCCTCCTTCTCCGGTTTCTTCTAGTTCCCACCGTTATGGTTTGCAGATACTGCAGTTCCCTTCGTAATAAAGCTTGACACCTTCCTCCGGCCAAGTACACGGGCCAATCCAACGTGGTGCTTCTTTGCGTTGAACAGATGCAGTATAAAAACACACGTGCGTGTCTACAGCTCATACTGTATGCATTCACATGCAACATTAAGGAGTGTCTCTCCTTCTGTACGTTTGCACGTATGAGTGGACAGAAGGGCAGCACCATACACAGATGGACAGATGAGTGGTGCAGGAGAGCAGCAGATGCCTGAAGTGACCCTTCCTGCCGCCTTTCATTGAACCACTGGCTTCAACACAAAGGCAGGGGCGGCCCCAAACATTAAATACACTTGCTTGTGCCGTGATGCCAGAGGTCACTGCCTTTTTTCTTTTTTTTCTGAGGTCCAATTTTCAAAATCATATTAAAAAAAATCAGAGATGTGTTTTGTAGAATGTTTTTTAAAGATACCTTTCCGAATGTTCGACAGGGTGGCGGTTGGTTGCACTTGGCAGCTGCTGTTTAAGCAGAGGCAGATAATAAAGCCATAGGGTAACAAAGGATCAGGGTGTTTCCTCTCACAGGGCATCTGCCCGTCTCTTCCTCTGTGCTCCCACAGAAAGTCATCCCTCCCTCCAACAGACCATATGGGAACCGGAAGGGAGCGGACACCTCCACTTTACCACAGATAACCTGCTAATTGCATTATACTCACTCCCAACTGGGCGCTTGAAGAGGGACGATGAAGCCATTTTGCTTTCTTCCCATACAACACAACCGTAAGTTGCATTTTGTAATTGGGAAAACATGCTTTTGAATGCGCTTATAAACTTGGAAAAACAGCAAAGACGAAAGTCAACTTGATAGATCTACTTGGAATATCTGTCCAGAGAAGCCTGCTTTTGTTCTGTTTATTTTCTAAAGGAATGTCTGAGGCTGCCCTTTCACCTCTCCTCATCCATTTACTGCCCCTGGTCTATGTTACAGATGGTGACCCGGGTCCTCGCTGTCCCTGATTAACAAGTACACCTTGGGATTCTCCTGCAAATCTGCGCAGAAAGGAAGCTTGTCTTTTTGTATGCTCACAGTTCATCTTTTTGTGTGTTTGTGTGAAGGTCTGAATGAGCTCGAGTCAAAAGTAAATTTGCTCAGCCAACTCTGACAATGCTTGTGTTTGGGAGCAAGGCGAGGACATGACCTCGCTGCCCATTCACATCCGCGAAGGCTTGTGGAGAGGAGAGGGAGGGTCGTTGACCAACAGGGGCCAGACAATGGTATTCGCCGGTCTGAACACCCGACCCGTAGGAGGACAAATTAGGACTCAAGGGAACGTTTTGCCTCGTAGTGTCAAAGGGAAAGACAGGAATCGGCTCTAAGGTGAGGAAAACCAAGAATCTCAGTGGCCTCAATCAATGTCCATTAAGCTTTTCCCAAATCCGAAGAGGGACCTGGCTGGTAAAATTAGGTTTCGGTTCTTTATTGTAAAGCGAGACATGTAAACAAACATGGGTTGGGGGCAATGAGGCAGCAGGACAAGGATCTGACTTGAGAAGGAGGAATGACGTTGGGGTGGAGGGCTGCGGATTGCAGGAGGACTTGATGGACAACTCCACAGCTCGGCAGAGGCAGAGCTTTCACTTAAAAATGGTGCCTGGCCTATCTCAAAAGGTCAGAGCCCAGAACACTACCACACTACATTAATCACCAGAGGCTGCGGCTTACCTGTCTAGCGTTTCAGCCGTGCCGTACAGTTAACCTCAATTATGCTTGATTACAAGGTGTGGAAGACGCAGGGCCCGGTGCAAAAGATCAAGCATCAATAATGCAATTTCAGATTAGATGTGCCCGTCTGTCGGTGTGCAGAATGGACGGAGTGGTTCAATGATCCGGAAAAACGGATCCACCCAAGCATATGCATGTGAGACACAAACACATACTCCAAAGCATTGTGTGGTGTACCAAAGAGAGCTAACGGCTTCATGCTGTCCCAGCCCCCTTCTTGGTAATTGCCCCATTATGTGTTGGTGGTGGATGGAGCCATTACAGATGTTTTATGACGGGGCCATTTTCGTTTTGTCTTCCCCATGAGGGACAGATTCATGGTGCCTTCCATTCAGGGGTAAAAAAAAACCCCTCTCTCCACCACATTCCCTAATACACACAAAGATTCAGACACACACACACACACACACACACACACACACACACACACACACACACACACACACACCTAGAGCAGAAATGCACATAACTTCACTGCATTATCTTTTACATGACAAGCCTGACCTGCCCTCACTTCAGTTCACTGGAGTGCCCACGTCTGTGAGTGAGGCCGTTGGCAGCAGCTTATGTGATGAATAAATGTTTGATGGCCCAGCGGAACCAGGCACACTTCCAGGCCGTGAGTCTGTTACACGAAGTGGGGGGGTTGCTGGAGGAAGATCTCCTCGAAGTGCCCCAGGGCTTCGGGGAGAGCGACTGGCCTCGAGTAAAACTGAGTCTGACACTTTCTCAACCAATGTTATCCTCCTAAAAGGGACAATCATAAAGGGCACAATAAACAACAGTTAGCTTTTCAGAATTAATATCGTTTAGCTGTCAGTAGAGTGTTTGAAGTGCTGAAGACTGTTGGGCTGCGCGGCTTCCTTCCAGAGGCTGTTTTTGTGTGGTTACCCAGAGTCCTCGTTTGGAAATCAAAACTTAAGCTTGATGGCTTTTGGGCCAAGAAAAATATCAGCCATAAATTGGTGGCTGAATAGGCAGCCTAATTACAGGGCTGCGGACTGAAAATGAATGCTCAACTCATGGCTACATTATTAAGGTTAACAATACCGGGACAGTGGGCTAGAAAAAGCAAAGCTTCAAAGAGCTCAACTTATTCAATGACTGGCTTGGTAAAACAGGAGTAGGTCTGTGTTTGTTTCACAAACATTTTTCATTCCGTGCACAAACTGTCGAGAGTTTTTTTGGTACAAGTCATTTTAACAAACAAGGTCAACAGTAGAACACCGATTGTTAATGATTTACCTGAGGAGCACAAAGATAGCTGGAGAGAACGAGATAGCCCAAAGAACCCGGGGGTTTGTGATGAAACGCTGCTTCATCATGTCGCACACAGCGACCGCTGTGACATCTCTGACACCTCGCTCCTATCAGCCCTACCTGCCCAAGAATGATTGACTTTCTCATTGTGACGCTCGCCTCGGACAAGTTGCCCCTTGTCTCGTTGTTTGACTATTTTGTAGAAACCCACTGTTGTGGCTCCAAACAGCAAACTTCTGCAG